CCCCCCCGTTATCACCCCCACCTGCTGTTGCCTTAGACCAGGTTCTGGGCACATGGCGATTCCTCACATCTGTCCTAAATTGTCCGCCGTTCGGCTCCGTGGGAGGGAAGGGCACTTCTAGCCGAGTGGTGAAGGAGTGGAATTGTGCGATCTTGCGTGGGGGCCCAGCCGTGTGGCTCTGGGGTTCCCCGGCTAAGCCCCCCTCCCCCCCTTCCCAGGATCATGGGCCTGTACGTCTCCATCGTGCTGGTGATCGGCAAGTTCGTGCGGGGCTTCTTCAGCGAGATCTCGCACTCCATCATGTTCGAGGAGCTGCCCTGCGTGGACCGCATCCTCAAGCTGTGCCACGACATCTTCCTGGTGCGCGAGACCGGCGAGCTGGAGCTGGAGGAGGAACTGTACGCCAAGCTCATCTTCCTGTACCGCTCGCCTGAGACCATGATCAAGTGGACGCGCGAGAAGGAGTGAGGCGAGGCCACGGGCGCTGCACCAGAGACCGCCTCTCGGCCGTGGGAAGCAGCCTCCTCCAGCCACGGGGAGGGCCCGACGTGGACGTGGGGGGGGCCGCTGCACCGGACACCAAGCCACCTGTCCTCCTCTGCCCGGCTGAAGGCTCCCTCCGTGGGGCAGCCCTACCTCTGCGCCAGATCGGTCGCCCCATGGCTTGGGGGAAGGGGGAAAACTCAGTCACTTTTGGAAACAGGTTACCCGTTTTTAGTCAAAAAAAGGAGCGCGTGGGGTGTCTGGACAGGGTGGGACGTAAAGGGACAACTTCCCCCCTCGCACTCAAAACTCCCCGTTCCAAGGGGTGGGGGCTGCTGGGTGGGGTGCAGAGCACTGGCAGGCCACACGCAGAGCCCGGGCGCCAGCCTGCGGGACACCCCCCGCCCCGTCTTGCTCTCGCGCTGCCACGAGGGCTCCCCCAGCCAAGACGTCGCCAAGTGCCGCTCCCACACTGCAGGAGACGAGGGAGTGCGCGTGGAGTGCACAGACTTTTTTTTAAAGGAGGTGGTTTATTTATACAGATCTATATAATAAAAATACAAAAATAAAAAGCGGGGCGTGTGGACGGGAGCGGGTTGTTCTGAGCGGGTGGCGCTCGGCGGGCGGTTTGCGGGGGGCGTGGAACAGGGACTGTTCCGCAATAATTTAGTTGGTGTGGGAAACAGCTCGTGGCGGCTGCACGGCCAGGGGATGCCGAGGGGCGCAAGACCGCCCTGCGCGAGGTGGTCCTCCAAGGCCAGCCAGGATCTGGTGCCACTTTGCTGGCAGGGCATGCGAGCACAGCGGCCCTGTGAAGCTCAGGGCTCGTCTTCCAGCAGGAACTCCTGGATTTCTTGCTTCATTGCAGCCCTACGGGAGGAGGAGGAGGAGAAAAGGGGAGCTCCCTGGGCGGTGGCTGCATTTGTCTGGAGGGAGCAGCGGTCAAAGGCGGTGAGAGCGGCATCCTTCCTGACCCCCCCCCCAAGAGCTGGCATAATCCAGCGACTGGCCACTTGCCCGACGTGCGCTACACGAGTGCCACTGTGTACAACGGGGAGTCCAAGCCCCTGCGGGGCATCGGCTTCTTCACCCCCAGGCCACAAGGCCCGCAGCCAGGGACCCTGCAAGCTGGACCCCGAGGCGTTCAGAGGGCTCAAGGGGGCCACTGTCTGTTTTGCACGTCTCGCCTCTTGCGGGGGCTGCTTGCTACGAAGCCTGTGGCCAGCTTTTCCCTGGCGGTTCCACAGTCGACGCTTCTGGGGCTCTGCTGTTCCGGGTTGTTTTACCTCTGCTATAGTCTGACACGGAAAGGGAAGCCGTGCTCTCTTGGAAAGTGTTTGCCTTCAGCTGCTTCCCTGGTTTCATCATCCCTGGGGGATCCTGAGTGTTTTAGGCAAGCGAGCAACACTAAATAATTCCCAAGGCTGGGTACTGCTACCCAGAGGGCCCGGTGAAGGGGCTTGCCTCACCAGAGAGTTCTGACTTGCTTGCCCACGGGCCGGACTTGCCTCCCCGGGTCCCCTTCCCTTTCCCCGCTCCTGCTGCCATGTTGTGTTTTCCACTGTTGTGACAGCTTTCCTGAAGTTTAGCTATCTGCCGGAAAACGCTCAAGCTTCCGGTACGCGGCTGTCTCTACCCCTCCCTTTTGGTTTGGGCCATGCCCATCCCCAGAACGCAATTAGCTAATCCAAATCCGGCCCTCGACTTAGAAGCTGCGATGGTGCTCCTGGGCCACCCCCGACCAGGCTGTCCTCTGCAGCTCGCGTCCAGAGGTGATCCCTCCCACGGCCTGTGTGCCCTGCGGCAAAGTCGCCAGCCATACCTGCAGCGCCGGCGCTCGGCCTCGGAGAAGATGTACGGTGGGAGGGGCTCCAGACTGCCCTGGGAAGGAGCAAGATGCCGGCGAATCAGTAACCCCACAGAGCAAGATGCCGGCGAATCAGTAACCCCACGGAGCCAAAGTTCCCCTTGCTGCTGGTGGGGCCCCCATGGGCCTCTCGCCTTTTTCGCTGGGCATTCGGCCCTTGACGCGGATGCCCGGCCCAGCATCTTCCGGAGCCGAATTTTTATGGAGCAGCCGCCTTTGCCCAGCAAGAGCGGCGGGAAGGCCTCCGGCTCCGGCTCGGTGTTGCAACATTCCCCTCCCCAGCTGGAGCAGGCAGGAGCGGCAGCGAGACTGGGGGCTCTGGGCATATTCGGGAAGGGGTGGAACCGTCCTGGGCTGCGTGGCTGCTCCAGAGGAGGAGTGACCCGCCCAGAGGAAAGAAGGACTGGTCTTGCTTTGCTCTGAAGCCCCTCCAGCTTCTGGTAAGAAAATCTGAGTGTGTTTTTGGCATAACCCAGGAGGGGAGGGGGGCTTGGTGGGCACCCGGAAGGCCTCTGGTGCGAGCATCGGCTGCTCGGCTCGGGAAGTTTCTCTTGACCATCGCAGGACAATTCAGTGGTGACTCCTTGTCCCGAAGCCCCAGAGGGGCAGCCATGATGCAGCCGCTCCACAGCAGGGAAATCTCATGTTTTGCCCCCACCCCCCGGACTTACCATGTCTCGGACAGTCAACCGGCAGCTGTAGCAAAGCAAGGGGACGAGCAGCTCCCGGTGAGGAGAGTCCCTAGTGCAGGGAGGAGAGCAGTGTCAGGCCTCCGTGCGCTGCCTGCCCAGAGCTTTTGGGGGGAGGCTGGTAGGGCAGGGCGCCGCCCGCCCCCTGCAAGGCCTCAGTGCTCCGTGGGCCTGCCCCCCTGCCCCTGGCCTCACCCGATCCCGGGAGGACTCCTGCAGCATCCCGCGCAGTCCCGGGCCCCTCCGCAGCAGCCACTCCCAAGAGAGGGGGGCGCCGGCTTCCGGCAGAGCTGCTCCGACAGCCGCATGGCCTGCGAGGAGGAGCCGTCCACTGCGAGAAAAGCAAGGGCGGTCAGCGCTTCCCCAGAGGGGCTGCCTCCAGCACAGGGGCCCCACGGGGGCAGAGGAGGCTGCTGGCTCTGCAAGCTGAAGCGCTTTCAGCCCGAGGACCTCCGGAGAGGCAGCTGGGCCTCCCGCCAGAGGGCCTGCACCCAGGGGGGCCGCCACTTCTCTGCATGTGGGAATCGGGACTGCCGAGAAAGACTGTTCCTCCTAGGAGGCGTCCTGTGCAGAGGACAGGCGGAGAAAGCCCTCGTGGAGCGCGGCAGGAACACCCCTCCTGGCTCCCACGGCTGAGAGCGTTTGGGGGACCCTTGCTCCCCCTTCCCACACCCTGCAGAATTTGGGGGGGGGGAGGCAAGGCTGCGACGGCATTTGAGTCCCCTCCGGGAGCCACCCAGCCCGCCGTCCGTCCTGCTCGCTAAGACGGAACTGGACGGCCCCGTCCGGCTTACACGCACCAACGTTGGTGTCGAGGGAACAGAGGCAGAGGAGGCAGCGTGTCGGTCCTGCGGGGTCACCGGGCCCGGCGTCTCGAGGGCTCGCTCCCAGCTTCTCGCCCGTCCTGCAGGGTGGACCAGGAAGGCATCAGGAGCGGGCACGGCGGGCAAAGCGAATCTTCCCGCCCGGATCGCTTGCCACCGGCTCTGCTGCCGAGTGCCAAGGGGGGCTGCAAACCAGCCCCTCCCGAGGGTGGGCCCGTGGCCCGATCCACCCCCGCAGCCGCCGCGCAGGCCAGCGGAAGGCAGGCTCACCGGTAGACGGTGCTGACCGTGGAGGGGAACTCGCACTGCAGCTTGAAGAGGAAGCTCTCGATCAGGCGGTGGATGCTGGCCCTGTCGGGGGCCTGGGAAAGAGGGCGGCGGTGTGGGGAGGGCGGGAGGAACCGTCTCCCACAACGGCCCCCACCACACGCCCCGAGAGGCCCCCAGTGGGCAGGCCGGCCGGCTGCTGGCCCAGGAGCCTGCAGGCCGCCCCCAGCTTACTTTGGTGTCCAGGCCCGGCATGAAGATGGTGGGCACGCCAAAGAGGTGGTTGTAGAAGGCGATCTCTTTGGCCGGGTATTCCCGCATGGGGCGCAGGAAGAGCACGTCCCCGTGGCGGCCGTCCGCAAAGCCCTTTCGGGGAGGGAGGGAGGGGAGCAGTGAGCCCGGGCCTAGCAGACAGGGACAACTCCCCCCCCGCATTCCCAAACCCAGAACCAGGTTATTCAGCCACGCAGGGTGTTAGAAGCGACTCTGCTTCCCACGGCTACAGTCGCCAATCCCTGGATGCCCCCCCCGGAAGGCAGGAAGGCGTTTTGTGGGCTGTCTCTCGGGCTCCGAGTGAGACAGCGCAGCTCTCGCGCAGGGCGGGAGAGCCCACGCCAAAGGCAGCCAGCCAGCCAGCGGGAAAGCTCTTGTGCTCTCACTGTGTCAAGGGCCAGGAAGGCCCCCCGTCCCAGGCAGAGGTTGGTCAGCAGCTTGACGGCCACGCGGGTGCAGCTGTCCCCCAGCATCACTTTGCTGTATCCGTTCGTCCGCGCCACGTGCAAGATCAGGTGGTTCCTGAAGGGGGGACCATCGGTCAGGCCGTTCAGTGGACTCGTTCCGCGGCAGGACCCTGAATGCTTGCCCCCAATTCCCACCCTCGTCCTCAAAGGAAGGGACCCGGGGACGACTCGGACAGGGAGCCTTGACTGGATGGAGGGACAGAAGCCTCTGCTCTGCTCTCCTCCCCCCTCGCTGGAGCCACAGAGAGACACCCCCACACCATTCCAGAGCTTTCCGTGGCGCTGAACTCTTGCCCTCCTCCTCCTCCCCCGAGGAATGTAACCAACCCCCCCCCACCCCCGTGGCCCAATTCTGATCCACAGAAGGCGGCTGGCCAGAAGCGCAAGATCCAAGCTCTACGAGGCAGGAACATGCCCCTCGGGAGCAGCTGGGTAGGAAGAGAACGGAGTGGGAACCGCATTGGCTTACCGGAGGGTCTGCAGAAGCTCCTCTTTGGCAGTCAGGGATTTCACCGCCGCAAAGAGGCGGCTCAGTGCTTCGGCACGGGAATGGGGAGAACGCCCGGCTCCCGGACCCCCCGGCCCTCCCTGCCGGGACGAGTCCTGGATGCTCAGTTCCGCCACCCGAGGATTCAGCGCTCCGGCTGGGCCCTCCGCCTCCCCGCCCTGCTGCTGCCTTAGGAAGCTGTCCACAGCCTGCTTGTAGCTGCCGTGGCTCTGGTCCGTGGCAGCGTGGGAGAGCGAGTGCAGGATGGAGCCCGGAAGGTCAAACACCTAGGAGAGCACACGAGGGAGACTCGGCGGCCTCTGTGTCCCGTGCAGAGTGCTGGCCCATGCCGAGACGCAGAGCAGCAAGGCCTCCGCACACCCCAAGGCGGCACGACTTGCTGTGTTAGGTAATTATGCTACAGGAAGCCCAAGGTAGAAGATAAGGAGGACCAGCGATGGGATGCATGGGCTCCATCAAGGAAGCTACAACCCTGAATCTACAAGAGCTGAGCAAGGCTGTCATGAATAGGATATTTTGGAGGCGTGTCGATCGCAAGATCACCCCAAGGTATAGCACAGCGGAAAGGTAGAATAAAATGAACGATCTGAGGGCACGCGACAGCGACAGAGGACCGGTGGGCTGAAACGTGGAAACGGCCGCGAGAGGCCTGAGGTGGTCCACCCCCGTCTCCTTGCTCGCGTCCTCCTTACCTCTTCCAAGCTCACCAGGTGGTAAGGGAACCCCGTGGCTTGCAGGACTGTCCCCACCTGCCTGCGGATCTCCTCCTGCCTGTCCGGGCTCTGGCCACACAACGCTCCCTCTGCGAGGCAAAAGGGAGACGGGGGTTCAGGCGACCTGACTGAACAAGGGCCTTTGAGGAGCACCTCCATGCGCCCTCGTTCTGGCCGGCAGGCGGACACGAGGGCACTCACCCCTCCGATCAGCTCAGCCAAGGGCTGGTTTTAGTGGCAGGCATCTCCACCTAGTCTGCAAGGTTCTTCTGCTGTTCTCTCAAAGCACTGATTGGAGGTAAGGAGGAATTTAAAGGCAAGCGCCCTCTAAATACCCTGCAAAGACTCAAGTTTTGTACATACTGCAGGCAGGAGACCCCGTGGGTAGACAGAGAGGTAGTGCTTGGGGTGTGACAGAGGCTCTGCTGGGGGATTCAGTGCTGCTTCCTCCCGAGTAGGCTCAAAATGGCAATAAGTACATGTGCCTCTGTTCACTCTGCCTCTGGCTGCACCCACAGGGAGAAGGTGGCTCCCCACGAACATCCCCCTTTGGCCCTTGGGCTGAAAATATTCCCCCACCCCCCCAGGAAGCTTTTGAAATGTAGAGGAAGAAACATTCATTGTGTTGTTGTGATTGTGACTCAGGCTGAGCAAGCTGCCTTGGCCCCCAGGCAGTCCCCAGTTCGGAAAAAGCACACGGCGAGGGAGGACCGCTCACCGTCAACGAAGACAATTCCCGGCTTGAAGCGAAGTTTCTTGGCTGCTTCCCTGCTCAGGCCCTGCAATGAGAACGCAAGACACAAATGCGGAACAAAGGACTGGGAGCGTGTTGCGCCAAGAGGCTTCCCCAGAACCCGGGTGATTACTTCCTCCTTTGGCCTTATTCCACTTAAAAGGTTTAAAAGTTCTTCCGCTGTATTTCAGGGTATTAGCTTTTGTCAGTCACCCAGACAGGAGCACAGAGATGCAGTGAAGAACCACCATAATTTCTGTCAGCACGCACCATCTGGGTTTGCTGGAAAAGGGTGACAAGAGCCGACCGTCTGTGATACAGTCTAAAAACCAGCCAGTCAACACAAAATGCCAGGGATGCGTGAGCTGCTGCGGTTAAAGTTCCTTTAATGCCCCTGCCTGCAACTGCTCTCGGAGACTACAAACGTCTTGCCATCCCGAGACATTTGTAGTGGACGGGATATAAAAGCTTTTAATAAACAAATAAAGACAGCCTTTCGCGGCTGGGAGGGCAGGCACGAAATGTGCCTTCCCCGATGCTGCTCTGCTTGCGTGGGGCTTGCTGTGCCATTTCGGAACCACTAGTCTCAGCAATAACCTCCCTCTACTGTTGAGCCAACTTGGCTGTCACAGCCAGATCAGGAAGGCGCACGACACACAGAAGGCCCCGGCTTTCATTCCCAGCATTGCTAGGCAGGGCTGGAAATCAACGAGGGAGAGCTGCTGCCCGCCAGTGTCAGCCACAGGGAACTAGGGGGACCAAAGCTCCAGCTCAGCCAACGATGGCTTCCTCTGTTCCGTTTCCACATACCTCTTGCACTTGCCGCACCATTGAGCTGGAGGCAGGACCACCCGAATATGCAAGGAGGACCTGCAGCAAAGAAGAAACACACCCAAAAGCAGTTAGAAAACACGCCTGTTGCTCTGAGGGGTCAACTCTCCCCTCTGCCTCGCCCTTCAGTCGTGAGATACCCAGACGAGACCTTTTCTCCGGGGTAAATACAGCGATTCTTCCCAAGCGTGGCACGGAACTTGTGAACAAAATAGTCCTTGAAGCAGGCCCTGCAAGACAGACCGAGGCGCAGCAGTGAGACCAACGTATGGGCACAGCAACATGCACCGGCTGGCCCGGAATCGGTTTTAGTACACAAGAACGCTCCAGGAGGGGGATGCAACGCCGCAGCTCTGCCAGGCTGCCAGAAAAAGCTGGGAAGCCTCGAGGGAGCCGCAAAACGTGCAAGAGCCCTGCACAGAAGCCACCACATTTGCAGCTCTGCAGGCGGCCACAGCGAGCCGGCGGCTGCTCACCGCTGAAGCCACGCCACCCTCCCTCAACACTTACTTGCAAAAAGCGTCCCCAACTCGGATGATTAACACCGGGGAACCTTCTTTGCACTTCATACATTTCAAGGGGCGGCTTTGGAAAGAGAAAGAGGGCAAGTTCCAACTGGTAATGTGCCCAGGTCTGTCTTCCCCAGTCAGTTGGGCTACGATTCCCAGCCTCCCGCAGCTAGCCACAGAGAGCGCTTGCAAGTGTTACGGCGGCCTCTCGCCGTTTCTGCCTCAACTTCAGCATCGTGTACTGCTGGCTGTTGAACAGACCAGATACTGGGGGACGGGAGGCCCACATTTGCTGGTTCCTGACCCCGAGCGATCAGCCCATCATACTTCGCTCCCACAGCGCAGACTTGCCTAAATCCCGGGATCGCCTGCCCACCCCCTGCCAAGATCTGCACCCTTCCGCTTGTCAGCTGCCTTTGAAACCACAAATCGGCCTTTCCTTCGCGGAAAGCGGGGAGCTGGGCCTCCCCTAAACTCCTTGCCGCTCAACGCCCGCTTTCTGCCACGCAGCCCCCCCGCGACCCTGGAGGCTCCCGGGCGTGTCGGGCGCGACGCCCCTCCTCCCCAGCCACTATGCGTCCCAGCTGCGGAGAACGATGGGAGCTGCAGTCCAGCACATCGGGAGGTGTCCCGCGGGCGACGGCTGCCGCCAGGCATCCAGCACAGGCCGAGCCCTCTTGCTCGGGCGATCCGCCCCTTCCCCGGCCAGGCCCGGCCCCGCCGCGCCGCCCGTCCACCCCGCAGCGGACAACACGAGTAGGGGCCGTCCGGGCAGAGCCCGCGGCCGCGATCCTCACCCGCTGCGCGGCGCCCTCCGGGGCTGCCCGCCGCCGCCGCCGCCGCCGCACTCCTCGGCCTCGCACATCGCCGCCGGCGCCGCGACTTCCGGCGCGCTCTGACGTCACGAGCCCTGCCGGCACGGCCATAGATTCGTGTAGACGCGCGCGCGGGGTGCAGTTTCCGGGCCTGCTTTTCTCCGGGGGCAGCAGGAGCGCGTCTTCGGGCAGGGCACCCGGCGCAGACCCCGCGCTCGCCCAGGATGTTAAGGCTCCTCAAGGGCATTGGCAGGTTGGGCGGTATGTAAAGCTTGACGACGATGTAGTAAGCAAAGCTGACCCGGAAACTCGGCCCCTCCTACGCCTCTACATTTGTAGAGTCTAGGATTCACGCCGCACACCTCCGCTCTTGCCAGGCGCGTTCTGATGACGGCAAGAGCGACTCTCGCGAGAGCTGCCCCGTCTCCGCTCGGCGTCCGCCGGAGGGGAGCGCGAGCGGCGGAGCGTGAAGGCGCGCGCCGGCTGCTGACGTAGTTGGCGATGCGCCGCCCTTGTCCTCCTCTTCCATCTTCCTCCTCCTCCTCCTCCTCCTCGTCGTCGTCGGCGTCGTCCATGGCGGCGGCGATGTTCCGCAGCTTGCTGGTGTCGGCGGGCGGGTCCCGCGAGGCGCCGCCCTCCTCCGCGCCCTCTTCCTCGGCCGCCCCGGCCGCCCAGCCGCCGCCCGAGGCCGGCGCCGCGCTGGAGGCCCAGTTCAGCTGCCCCATTTGCCTGGAGGTCTACCAGAGGCCCGTCCGCATCGCGCCCTGCAGGCACACGTGAGGAGGGGCGCGGGGCTGCAGGAGGGTCCCGGCGAGGGGCGGCGAGGCGAGGGGAGTCGCGGCAGGACGGCCTCGGGGGCAGAGGGAAGGGCGCACGTGCCGGAAGGCAGGCGGCGGCGGCGGGGGGGCTGCAGAGGCCGAAGCGGGGGGTGCTTGTTATGTATCCTGCCATTTATGTGCCGCCTACTACCGGAGCCTCGATGGGCTGCCCTGGGGAGCAGGTGAGCAGTTGGGGCAGTGCTTCCCCCCCCCCCCAGGAAAAGAGTTGTCGCAGCGCGTGAAAGAGCGGTGTTTAAACGGTGCGAGCCGAGCTGGTGTGGTGTGGTGAGTTCGGTGTCACAGTTGCCAGCGACCACTAGTCCTCGCAGCCAGTCGGTGGGTTTGATTGCAGCTGCTCGGATGGGAGCCGCCCCATCTGAGCTCCGTTGGGCGCGACATAGACACGTGAAGCTGGACGAGCCGCTTGCTCTGAGCCTGACCTACCTCACAGGGTTGGTGTGAGGATGGAACGGAGAGGATGATCATGTAAGCAACCTCGGTGGGACGTGAACGTAACGATGGTGATGTCGGAAAAGGAATGTCCTAGGAATCCAGGACGTGGACTGAAACGAAGTAGCCTTTTCAACCTGGTGCCTTCCCTGTCATTTAAACTACAACTCCCCTCAGCCTTAGCTGCGTAGCAGCCAGGGATGATGTGAGCTGTGCTACAACGTATCTGGAGAACACCTGTTTAAGGAAGACAAAGAGGCATTGAGACCTCTCCAAGGGAATGTTAAGGGGTGATGATGGACTGAGCGAGAGATGAGGCGAGGGTGGCCAGAGGTGGCTGCAGGGGGAGGGCTGGAGGAGTGGGGAGCAGCAGAAGGATATTGGGGCATTTGGCACTTCAGAGGGGTAGCCTGGTGGAGCTGCAACCCTGTGCAAATTTAGATTGAGTTTCGCAGGTCTTTATTCTGTCTGAACCTGCATAGCATTGTGCCCTTCCTCTGCTCCAGCAAAAACATCAAAAAGTCTTGTGGGACCGTAAGGACTGAAATATTTATTCTGGCAGAAGTTTTCAGGAACCAGAGCCCACCCTGGAGCAGATGCATCATTTCTATGTATCAGTCGTCTCTCAGCTGCTTGTAAGGTCAAGGGCCAGGACGCTAGGTGCTCTCTGTTTACCACCAGCTGTATTTCAGGGGCCAGAACCTTCGAAGCCCACCTTAATAGATGGGCAGACGATCCTTTAGATACCACCTCTCAAGCTTTTTTGGACGTCTTGTCTTAAGACCAGCGCTTTACATTGCTCCCGGTTTAAATTGTTCTGAGTGTGGGCAAATTAATGATAATAGCCCATAAAGTTACCTTTTCAAAAATAAATCAGCAAAAAGTTCCCTTGGAAAGGAATTGCACTGAGGGAGCTTAGTTAGTGCTTACTCGGTGAAGCAGGAGAGAGACAGAAAAAGACCGGTTGGTTTCGCTTTCTTGAAAGGCCACCGTAGTCACAGATGGAATGGCAGGTTGCCCTTTCCTTCTCCACTTCGACAGCCTCAAGCTACTTTTCCGGGCCAGTGGATATCTTGCAAAGCTCCTTCCACCAGCTGGAAGTTAAAGGCATTTGAACACTGAACATGCCGCGCACTCCGACCTCCAAGCCCTTGCTTCCCTCCCGTTCCTGAAAGCCGTTCTCTGGCCCAAAGCTCTTTGTGTTATTGCTCATTCTTGTTGCCTCTCATCCGAGTTCCAGAGGCGCAGGATTTTTGGTGGGTGCGCAGGATTACCGGTGGGCTCATGATGCTTGTAAAAGACAAGAAGCCAACACTGGTTGCCTGAATAACTCTGTGTAGGTCAATTCTCATCTCCAAGCAGGGGCTGGGTACTGTCGTGCTCTGGAGCTTGAGCTGAAGCTGTTTTCGGGTGCGGCACAGAAAGCCCCAGAGCGATTTGGCCCTGCCAGCTTTAAGGCCAGGCAGTCTTCTTGATGCCCCACACCAGTGTTTCTTTCTCTACTGCACGACAACTGACACTGGCTTGGCGATTTGCAGCTGTTAATCTTTCTGCCTGTGCACACTTCACGGCCTCGCACTTACAGAATCGTTCTCCCGTGCTTTGAGACCTGCCTTGGCTTTGGGCTTGCCCGACAGAGCAACCAAGCCCCGCCCTCTGGCCAAATCCGTGCGCCATACAGATGTGTGCCCCCAGCTTTCCTGGGGTTCTCAAGACCGCGGAGTGAACCTGGGGCCCTGCTTCTCTTGCAGCTTCTGTGGGGAATGCCTGCAGCCGTGCCTCCAGGTGCCGTCTCCTCTCTGCCCACTTTGCCGCATGCCCTTTGACCCCAAAAAAGTGGAGAAGGCCTCCAGTGTCGAGAAGCAGCTCTCCTCCTTCAAGGCACCCTGCCGAGGCTGTAGCAAAAAGGTAAATTCAAGAGACGCGGGCTTGTTCGACCCAGGCAGAGCTGTGTGTGGGTGCATGTGTCCCCCCCCCCCCCCCCCCCGCCCCCCCCAAGTTGAGAACATCTTGCTGGAAGTGGGCGAGCAGCTCTGCATCTCTGCCCCTTTAGAGGAACGGCTCTGGAGCCAGATCCCTAGTCCAGTGTGGCCGGCGGGGGTGGCGGCTGCCTCCCTGGTTTTAGGGGTCCTGCCTAGCCATGCCAGGGACCGAGCGTGGAACATGCAGAGGCCCTGCTCCGCCCTGAGCCGTCGCCCGTGCTCAGGTGCAAACCGGGGCGCTGGGCCGGGCTCCTTCCCCAGTCCCACGCAGCGGCCGAGGACGGAACCCGCGGTGGGAGGAGCGGGGCGTGAGCCGCAGAGCCCCAGTCAGCCGCACGAGTGGCTTCATAAATGGAGTGGCCGGGGAATCTCGCCTTCTCGGGATGAGCCCAAAGTCGGATGGCCTCCGCTTCATCCTTTCTGCCCCAGCAACGTCCTGGCTTGGCTTGGCCTGGGACCCACTTGTTCACCTTCCTGTCATTCCGGGGTATTCACAATCCGCGATTATTTGTTCTTTTTAAAACATTAAAAATCGGGAAGGTGGACGGCCCGGTGTGGCCGTAGGGGAGGGGCTCTACAGGCACCGTGTTTGAGGGCCCAGAGACGCAATGCCAGAAGTCCATGATATGGAAAAATTGTCTACCAATAAAAAAGCACAGTTAAAGGCTGCAGGCCTGGACTGCTGATCTGGCCCTTGCAGTTTTCCCTTGCAGGACTGGCGGGAGGGTGGAAAGAAGCGGGGGGGAGCAGAAGGGTGAGGACTAAGGGGGTTGCCCTAGTGAGCGCTGGAACGGCCATGTCTGAGTAGCGTGGAGCCACCCTGACTTGGGCCCGGGCTGTGGGCAGGCGGCTGCAGGACGCTAAACGAACAGAGAAACTCGACGTGCCCACACCTGGCCTTTCCTTGCTTTCCAGGTGACCCTTGCAAAGATGAGGCCCCACGTCACGTCCTGTGCGAAGGTTCAGGAGCAAATGGCCAACTGCCCCAAGTTCGTTCCGGTTGTCCCGACTTCCCAGCCCATCCCCAGGTATCTCGTTTCTGTCCTGACCCGACTGGGGCAGGTGAGATGGTGGCCGCTTTGCGGTACGGCATCCCTCGTTCTGCCAAATCGGGGCGGGGGGGTGCGTTCCGCCCTTCTTGGGAACAGCAGCTGTTCCAAGCGGCCCCGGAGGCCGCTCCCCAGCGGGATGCCGACGGGTCCCTGTCCGTCTCTTGCAGCAACATCCCGAACCGGTCCACGTTCGTGTGCCCCTACTGCGGAGCTCGAAACCTCGACCAGCAGGAGCTGGTGAAGCACTGCATGGAGAACCACCGCAACGACCCCAACAAAGTGGTGGGTGCCACAGGCCGGGAAGACGGGGGCCGGGAAGACGGGGGCCGGGCAGGGGCATGGCCCCCGGGTGCCAGAGCCTTCCATGGGGGAGCGAAGCGCTGGGAAAGGGCTGCGCGTGCGAAGCGGACGGGGATGCTGGGCTGCCTCCCTCCGAGAAGGGCTGGTGTTCTCCCGCTGCCTCCGTGGGGGGCCCCCTGCCCTGCCGCCAGGCGCGGGGTGCTCCGTCTGCTTCTGCCTCCTCTAATCTCTAGCTGGCCTCTCCAGCGGCAGGAGCGATGTGGCCTCTGTCCTCTAAAGCAGAGAGAGAGAGGGAGAGTTGTTGTTTTCCTTCCTCCTGCTGACAGTCCATATCATCCCCCCACCCATGTGTTCCAGGTTTGCCCGGTCTGCTCAGCCATGCCTTGGGGGGACCCCAGCTATAAGAGCGCCAACTTCCTGCAGCACCTCCTGCATAGGCACAAGTTCTCCTACGACACGTTTGTGGTGCGTCCAGCTGCCGGCTGCATCCCTCGGGTGGATCGGCCGACGTTAAGGGCCCTGGGTGGCCGCAGAAGCACGTTGGTGCGGAGGCATTGCGGGATTTCACGGACCTGGTTGGCGCGCTCGCCACCTCGTGGACCGTCCAGGTTGATAGCAGTGGGCGATGGACGGAACTGGCCAGAGCTTTCCCACGCCTTGTGCTGCAGGCGGAGCTGGCTTCCCTGAGGCCTGGAATGACTCCTCTGGGCGGAGGGGGCAGGCTCACGCGTGCGGGGGGAGTCTTGTGCACCTGCCCCCTTGGAGGGATGCACACGTCTCAGCCCATGGAAAGCGGCTCTCCCTTTGCAGGGAAAAGGCGCAGGGTCTCAGTGGCTGTCCCCAGCGGGATGTGGGCAGAATCCCCCTCATCAGCCTCGTTCTCTTGGTTTCAGGGTGGGTCACTTGCGGCCACCCTACCCCCGAGCCCCAAATGGCTCGCCCTTTCAAGAAACAGCCTCTAATTCACAGTTCAGTGGCTACTGGCCAGCTCCCCACGAGGCTCGCGGGGCCGTCTCGGTCCAGCCACCATCATGCTTCAGGCGAGAGGTCCTCCCTGGGCGCCGTGTGGGGTGGAGGGTGGGAGGGGCCTTGGGGGAAGGGCTGTGGAAGGCGGATCACCTGGGTGGCGAGATTCTCGGGCCCCGCACAGCACTCTTTTCCTTCTCGCTTCCAGGACTACAACATTGACGAAGAGGCAGCTTTGCAAGCCGCGCTGGCACTCTCCCTTGCGGAGAATTGAAGGCGGCGGCCGCCAGGCAGCGCTCTGGAACTGGCGAGCTCCCGACGGCCTTCCGCACGGGCCCTTGCCCCTCGGCCGGAGGCCTGTGCTCCCACGCGGCAGCCCTCCTCCCTGGCTCCCGTCCCGCCTGCCCATTCGGGCGGCCCTTCCCGCGCGGTCGGAGCCGAAGGCACTGGGTGGAGGAGCCCCGAGGGGCCTGCCGGCCTGCTCGGTTCGAACTTTCGGTTGGACATTCCATTCGTAACTTAAGTACGGAGGGTCTATTTTATTAAGATGCTTTTAATAAGATTTTAGCACCGCCCGCCCTCGTTTGGTTTGCAGTTTATAATAGCCGCAAGGAATTTTGTGGGGAAACCATAGTTCGGTTTTTTTAATCACTGTTCTTTTGGCTAACTCGTTTGGGTCCTGCTTAGTTTTTTATTTAAAGGGAAGAACAAGCACGGGACCTTCGCAATGGTGGGAATATTCGTGACACCTTGGTGTCACTCGCGAGCTTCGCCGCCACCGCCACCGGGCAACGAACTGTGGGACAGAGCAGTGCGCGGCCTGCCAGTCGGCAGCTCGGAGGTCTCGGGCCCCCCGCGCGGAGACACAGTTTCTAGCCACGAGTGTTCGGCCGCCTCGCTCTCTCCTGCCCCCCCCCGCCCCACTGTTAACCTTGCTCATTTTGTACCAGCTTTTGTGATACTCCGTCCAGAGGTTCTTCGTGGGTTTTTTTCTACATCTCTCAGTGTAACAATACTCTTTTCACATTTTATAGAGAGAACAAAGCAGTTAACTCTTGATATTGCAATATCTGTGTTTGATTAGGAACAATAGTATTTTTATGAAACATTATTTTTTAAAGTATATTTTTTAAAGAAACAAAAAAATGGCACGGGTTCAAGAATTGCAGGTGGGGAGCAGCATGCTGGGCCCTGGAGAGGAGAAAGGCCTCTCTTTCCGACATGATCGCCTTCCCCGTGCCTCATGGCCCGAGGGTCTTGTCTCCTGGAATGAAAGAAACGCATCTTGGAAACGACCTTTCCGAGTCTCCTTGGCTTCCAGCAGCGGACAGTATCTCCGCCTCCCTCCCTCTCTTGCGAGCAGGAAGTGAGAGAGACGCAGGTGGGTGTCGTGGGTTGTCGTCCCCTCTTCCTTACCTTTCCGCTGCTGCTAGAAGTCCTGTGGAAGGGGTTGCCCTCCAGGTGTTCCGTTAATGGGCCAGTACGCTAAAGTAGGCTTGAAATAAATAGAAATGAATACACTACTGTCTGTGTGCGTGTGCCTGCCTGGGGCATGAAGAACTCCCTGCAGCAGGCAGCGGAGGACGTGCGGATGGCGGGGCGCCGGTGGTCTGTGGGGTCTGACCTCTTCAGTGGTCTTCCCTGTTTTTCAGGCAGGGCCCAGGTGGCCCCAGGCCGCCAGGCGAGGACTTTCCCGCTGCAAGGCCTCCTCTCGCCCTGGCCCAGCGGTGATGCTGCACCCCAGACGCGGCTGGAAGCCTTTCCGGCCGGCCCCCTCCACATCGTGCAAACCGGGCCGCAGAAAGCCAGCTGCGCAGGGGTAAGGCAGCCACGTTCTGGCAGGGCCGCACGGCCCCGGAAGCAGGGTGGAGCCCATGCTGAGCAGCTGCAGGTCTCCTCCCGGGGCTGCTTGTTTGATGCCAGAGGCTCGGGGCCGTCTGCCTGCTGCCACTCTGGCATTCAGTTTTGCCTCCACCTCCAGCGTCTCAGAGCTAAAGTATAAAAGAAGCTGAAGCGCTGTTTAAAATAAGCTTCCCCCGGGGATGGAGAGGAGGGGCGGCGTCCTGGCCCAATGGCTTCTCCAGCAGGGGGAGCAGCGGCCTCAAGTCTCGCCGCATGTCCCAGGGTCTCTCTCGAAAACGGGCCTCTTGCATGCCCCCGAGAGTCTGTTCCAAGCGGCCCTGGACTGCGGTATTGCTGTGTAGGTTTCCGAGCCTTTGCTTCACAAAACAACCCCCCCCCCAAAGCACCTCAGGGCTGGCACTGGGCTTAGCTGGGGATGTGTGGGGAAAGCAGAGAAGGAGAGCCCCAAGGCGTCGGAAAATGATTTTGGAAATGTTCCCTGGTCTCGGTCTGCCAGAGAGTCCCTCCTCGGAGCAGAGGGGAGCGCGATGCACAGGGGAAGGGTCCGGTGGGGTCTGTCTCCAGGACCATTCAGACTGGCGGTGCCTCCGCTGGCCCCTTTGCAATTCAGTGGCGAGGAGCGTGGACCAGACTGATCCCGGGAGACTCGCCTGGTCTCAGCAGCTGTTCTGCTTGGAGCCGCGGTGCTGAAGGCCTCATCCTGCAGGGGTGCAGGCTGCTGCAGAAATAGCCGTAGTGACAACGAAGCAACTCTGCACATGCCCACGAAGGCATTCTCACTGGCTGCCTCGATCCCAAAACTGGTCTCTGGCACCGAATGCAACGGGCTGGGCCAGGTGCTGAGTAAGGAGCGCCCAAAGTCCGTCAGCAAAGGAACAGATGGATATTGGCATGGGGTTTACCGGCCTCCCTGATCTGGCTGCAGCGTGGGGACATGTGGTTCTTGCATGGCTCAGCCTGTTCTGTGACTTGTATGCAGGCCTAGAATTCAGAAACACTCCTGAATTGCGCATTCCACCGAGCTCCACACCGTAGGGCAACGGCATCCGGTTGCCGAACCTTCCCGTCACAAGACGAGGCTTGCGAACACACGAGTGCCATCTGGAGTCATCCCAACGGCCTCGCCAGCTGGAACGCTCAGCCATGATGGGAGTTGTAGTCCAGCAGAGTGGGAGGTCACCAGGGAAGGCTGTTGGGGCAGTGGTGCTGCTGCTCCCACAGCCGGGAGCAGGTGCTGGGGCTCGCCTCTGCCGGAAACATCCCCGAATCTGGGTGGCAGAATCGGTCTCAACTCCCCAGGACGGCACCAGTGGAGCAAGGCTGGGCTGACGCGGGGTCCCGAGGAAGCACCCCGTCTTGCAAAGGCCCCGGCCTACTCCTGCCAGCGACGTGAGCGGCCCCTTGCTTTGCTGCCCCAGATCTTCTCCAATCTGGGGTGTTTGGCCCCCCCGGCCAGTGCTCCGGCTGCATCTTTTATCAGGGGACACGGGATCCGAAGCCCTCTTATCTCTGGCCGGACTTCAGTCAGCAGCATGGCCCCAGCCAAGCGGCCCCAGTCCTCCCAGCGGCCATAACTTCAGAGGCCTGGGCTTTTGGTGGGGTTGCTCTCAATGAGGCCGGGCTGCTCTGTGGGTTTCTTGCATTTATCTCTCTCCCCACCCCCAGCTCTGCCCCCGTTGCCTCGGAGCTTCTGTCTGTCTCTGAAATGATCACAGAGGTCGATGAGACAGTGGAAAACTCCTGTCCCGGTGGAGGAAAGCAGCTGAGGCGTATTTACACAAGCTCGAGGCTACCCTGCAATGGAGAGAGTTTGGGGGCTTTCTCCCTGGGAGACACTCCCTGCACGTGCCGGGGCCCTGGCGTAAGTCAAGGCAGCTTCAAAGTCCTCCAGTGCTCTCCTGCAATCCAAGGAGGAAGCGCCCCTGCCAAGAAACCGGAGTGGCACCTCTTGACAGGGCTTGCTTCGCAAGGGGGAGCTGCCCGGCCGCGGTTTGGGGCCCGGCCTGCCCTCGGCCTCTTCTGGGTCCCTTGTTTCTTTTAATAATGGCCCCGGTGCCGCTGTCCCTGCGGCCAATGGGAGGCCGCATCCCAAAATGCATGCAATGTACGTGCGACCTATCTGTCGAAGGACCGATGGACTGCCAGGAAGTGGCCCCTTCTTTCTACCATGCGAGGCAGCCATGGGGAGTCAGCAGAGAGATGCCAGAGCAGGAGGGACCCCCGGCCTGACTCTCGCTGGGAGCCCCAGAAGCACGGGGACGACAACTTCGTGGCAGAGCAGTCCTCCGGCGATTTGTAAGGCATCTCGGTTAAAATAGGGCAGAACAACAGATTAAAAACACGACGACAAAATCAAATGAGCACGACCAACGGGAAAGCTGTGGGTGGCCGCCCGCTCGTGCGCCAACGGCTGCTCGAAGAGGCTGCGCTTGGAAGAGCCACGGGCGCGCGGGCCTCTTCGCCGACACGAGCGCCCGTCTTTCTGCGCTTCCCACGCACCGTGTGCGTGGTGCAGGCAGGTCCAACAGCCGCAGTCGAGGTGGGAAAGGCTCTGGCACGGAAGAGAAGCCAGGAGACCACGCCATGCGTCGCCGCGATCCCGGTGTGACTGCCAGGGCTTCCTCAGCCGGCTGCTTCTCCGCCTTGGAGCACAAGGCCTGGAAGGGGGGCTCCGCGGGTGGGGGCCCTCGCTGCCCTTGGGCAAGGCTGCACCTCCCTCGCAGTGCGGGATGCCCCGACGGTGCTGCCGGAAAGACTGGTGGGGGAGACCCCCTTCGGCCAGGTGGGGGCAGCAGCGGGAGCTGGCCTGAGTGGGCCCCTGCCCGGGGCAAATGCCCCTTGCAGCCCCCCCCCCCGCTCTTCCCTGAGGGAACGAGGGGAACCGACTGCCTCGGGCGTCTACCCCGCACTCCGTGGTGCAGTTTGTCTCCCAACAGCAGGGCTCCCTACCAACTCCGGGACAGCCGTGGATGAGACCGGCCCGGTTCGTGCTGTGGGGGAGCGGGCTCGAACCCCGGATCTTCAGGGACCTCGCACTGCTCCCGGCTAGCAGGAGGGACAGGTGCCCCGCTTGCCTTTTCTCTCAGGTGCGTGAATAGCTCGTCTGTCCGGGAAAGACGTTTCCACCGGGCAGGGGAAGCTGCCCGCGCCGTCCCGAGCGAGCCACGCGAGACACTTGCGCTGGCGGCGCGTGATGCACCCCTTGTTTTCGCGCGGCTGAGGCGCGGGATTCCGGGCCGGGAGCCGGAGAGGCCCCGATCCCGCCTCGGGTCCCGCGAGCGCCCGCTCGGCCGCGCAGCCGGGGTCCGCCTGCGGCCGGGGAGGGTCCCCGGCGCCCAGACCCGCGGGCGGAGAGCGTCCCCGCGCAGCCGGCGCGGCGCTCCTAGCCCTGCCCGCGGGCTTCCCACGCGCGCCCCCGCCCCCGCCGCGACCCGGCCGGGCAGGGCGGCCAAGGACGGCCCCCGGGGCGCGGTTGGCCGGCGGGCGGCCCATGCTAATGAGCGCGCCGCTTATCCCGCCGCCGCCGCCGCGCCGCGCCGCGCCGCGCCATGCCGCGCTCCTTCCTGGTCAAGCAGCCCTCCTGCAGCCGCGCGCCCAACTACGGCCGCCTCGAGACGCGCCGCCACGGTAAAGCCGCCGCGCCGGGCGCCGGGGACGCGAGGGGCGGCCGGGCAGGTGCCGGGGCCGAAGTCCGCCCGCGGGAGAGGGGCCGCAGCCCGCGCGTCCCGTCCCGTCCGTCCCGTCCGTCCCTTCCCCGCCGTGGCCGCGGCGCTCCGGCCAGGGCTGGCCGGCGGCTCGCCCGCCAGAAGCGCGGCCGGGCGGCGCTCTGGGGCGAGCGGAGCGGAGCGGACGCGCCTCCCCTCCGAGGCTCGAGGACACGGGGCCGTGGGCGCAGGGGCTCCTCTGGCAGGCCGGGGCTGCGCCGCCGGGAGAGAGCCCGGCGCGGGGGGGAGGCGCCCCGCGGACCCGCCAGGCTGCCTTGCGCGGAGGGCGCGACTTCTCCCAGACCCGGAGCAGCTTCTCGGAGGCCTTTTGCGCGAGGACACGTGGGCGCAGCTGGCCTTGTGGGCTGGGAAGGGTGCAGAGGAGGGCGACCAGGTTGGGGGGGGGGGCTGGAGGGGCCCCTGCCGGGAAGAGTTGCGAGGCTCGTGGCTTGTGCGCTGGGCAGAAAGGCGAGTTAGGTCGGGGTGGGGTGAGGTTGTCAAATGGAGCAAGGTCTGGAGAGAGGGCTCAGGCGATGCTTGCCTGCCTTTCTCGTAAGGCCGGGGCCGGGCGGGTCGTCCCCCAGTGCTGACGGGTGGGTGACTCAGGACAGAGCCGAGAAAGGGCTCCCTCACATGGCGTCGGGCAGGTAAGCTGTGGAACTCACTTCCGCAGGGCGCTGTGATGGCGACGGCCTGGGATGGCCTTGCGAGGGCCGGGACTGCCGTTCTGTCCTGCTCTCCGGCTCCCAGTGGGAGCTCCTGGCAGTCGGCTTGGAGGGGCCTGATCCTGCCCGGCTGTTCCGCGTCCCTCAGGGCTCGGGCACTTGGGGCCTCTGAAAGTCAGGTTGAGCTGACTGGCTGGCTCAGGCACTTGACCTTTTCCGCCTTGGTCAAGAATGCAAGGATCAGGAGGGTGGGACCCAGCGGTTTCAAAAATGTCTGGTGTTGCCTCTTTCGCAGAGGACACTGCTTGAGTTAAGTTATTCTCAAAAGTGAGCTTGAGCTTTTGCAACGAGGAACGACATGGTGTCTTTTCATGGGAATTCTTCCAGATCAGTGTTCTCTGTCCGCACTGGAGAGACTTCCCTTGGAAAATCCAAACTTTCGCCCCTCTGGCCAACGGCCTTCCTTAAAGGACTGAGGCTTGCCCTGCTTTGAACTCGGCTTTGGCGCTCTGTCCCACCCGCTGCCTCCATCAGCGATAACGCAGGAGGGCAGTAGCGACAGGGGCTTCTCCGTGTTGGTGCCGGAACAGTGGCGCCCCCATCTTGGGAGTGATGGGGACCAAGTCTGGATGCCCTTCACTGGGTGCTCCAGTCAGGCGGGCTTTGACTGTTTAGCAGGCTGGGCAAATGAGAATACATTTCTCTGCTTTGCAGTACAAGGTGATTGTGCATTTCCTGCCCTAAATGAGATGTTTATGTTGTGCCGGTTTTGTACTTGTGAGCTGCTCTAGGTCGTAACACTAGAGAAACAGGGTGAGATATTTTGATTCTGCTGGAGTACCTTGAAGTGCTTTCCCTGGAATTCTCTTGCGCAGTCTGCGAGGATTTTTTGGCAGACGGCTCGATGGGGGAAGGGGGCCGTCGCAGCCTGCTATCTTGAGCATCTTGAAAAGATGGGGTGAAATATGCTTGGATAAATAATAGAATTAAGACCGAACAATGGAACGAATCACACCGCGGGCTTCTTGGAGAGAACGTTCTCCAGCGAACTGCCGCAGAAGTGTTGGTGGGCACCCATGTTGTTCCCTGTGCGGTTCAGCGACAAGGATCCCTTTCATGGGCCTGAGGCCCAGTCCCACGGACCCCGCTTCGCTTGCAGCAAGTCCCCGTTGGCATCCCCAGCTTCTCCCGGTCAGGCTGGAAGCCCCCTGCCCAAACCTTGAAGGCCCTTCGCTGCAGGCAGATGCGTCGCCGCTCTTCCGTCGTCCAGGCTGGGAGCTGCCTCCGTATCGCATGAGATGCAGCCTCTTCCTTCCGTCCCGCTTCCGAAACACCTCCGGACCGTATTGCCCTTGCGGTCCTCCGCTCAGCCCCTTGACCCTCGTGCCACTGAGCCGGAGGGGCCCTGACTGGCCTTCCCCCCACCCTCCCCCGCCTCCCCCACGCTGCCTCGTCCCTCGTGCATGGGGTGCCCACCACAGGGCTTTTGGGGCAGGGGGCAACCCTTGACGTGCGTGTGCCGTGCAGGCCAGGTTGTGTGGCATGAGCCAACCCTAAGAAGGAACGGGCAAGTGCTGCCGCTGCCTGGCCTCTGCCCCCCGGCTGTGGGTCGCCCGGGATCGGGGCGTTTGCAGAGGTGGTCCGGAGCCGGGCTGGGAGGGGCTGGTGCGCAGGGCCTGGCCCCCGCCCTGCACTCACCTCTGTTTTCTGGTCTCTCCCGCAGAGTCCAATGGATGGTGCCCCCCCTGGAGGGGGGTGGCACTCCCCCTCCATGCCCAGGAGGGAGTGGCCGGCCGGGCAGCCCCCTGCGAAGCTGCGGCTGGCCTCTGGGACCCGGCCCCCGCCTGCCCGCCCCCTCCCGCCCCGCAGAGCAGCGAGGCCAAGGGGGATCCTGGTGCCGGGGAGCAGGGGGGCAGCCGGCCCTGCGGCACCCCCCTCCGCGACAGCCAGAACAACCTCAATCTCCCGTCGGCGCCAAGGAGGACTCCCCACCCCGGCAGCCTGGCGGAGGGAGGCGGCGGCAGGCTGCTGGGGGAGCCGGGTGCGGCTGCGGACCCGCTGGAGAGGCTGGCGTGCCCGGACTGCGGCAAGCCCTACCGGACCTTCTCGGGGCTGGCCCGCCATCGGCAGCAGCGCTGCAGGCTGCAGGCGCCGGCGGCCCGGAGGAGCTTCAGCTGCAAGCACTGCCCCAAGGAGTACGCCAGCCTGGGGGCGCTGAAGATCCACATCCGCACGCACACCCTGCCCTGCGTCTGCAAGACCTGCGGCAAGGCCTTCTCCCGGCCCTGGCTGCTGCAGGGCCACATCCGCACGCACACAGGTAGGGGCGCCCTGCGCGGGGCTGTGGCTGTGGCTGTGGGACGGGCCCTCGCCGGGCTGTCAGGGCGGCGAGCCGTGGCTTGGCGGCGCGGTGGCGTTTGGCCCTCGTGGTCCAGGTGACCCAGGATCCAAGATCGTGTGCCGTAGGGGAATATTACGAGCCCGCAGGCCAGCGGCCGTTGATCAAGGACTCCCAGAGAATCCTTAAAAACTCATTGACATGTCTTAAAAAAACGAAGCATTTAAATCCATATCACAGCTTGAGAATGGAACCACAATGATACAGCGTTGTTCCTGCAGGCTCACACGGAAGTGTGAACTATTGTGTGAAATGCCACAAGACAATTCCAAAGCAAAATGTCAGTACCCACTAACTTGCAAACGCTGGCTTGCCATGGCTGGGGCTCGCTCGTGCTTTTCCCAGATCCCTTTTGTCCTGATTCACCGAGGGCCCTGCTTGTGTCGCTGCCCGCTGGGTCGTGTGGAGAGGAAACACAGCTGGGGGTCAGCGGCACAACTGGCGCTTGTGGCAGATGGATCCTGGGCCTGGTCCCAGGGCCCTCTGGGAAATTTTAAATTTTGATTTCCACGACCGTCTTGGGCGCCCTGGCCTGGAGGAGAACGATTCCCAGTTAACCACGGGAAGGTGGACAGCAGGTATCTTGAGAAGAAACTTCTGTCCAGACAGCAGGTGATGGGAAAGGGAGCTCACTCCAGCAGACTCCCCGGGTAGCCACACTGCTCTGGGACCTCTTGTCTTTCTAGTTTTCATCATTGACTGAAGTTGAACTTTAAGACCAGCCAAAATTTTGCAAAAATGTGCAAGTTTCTGGATTCTCCAGAGCTCTTTCTTCGTGTGAGTTGGTATAGACAGCAGGGAGTGGGGGATGAAATAGTCTTTTTGCTGCTACAGGTTCTTTCCCATCCTCTGCCCCCCCCCCCCCATAAACTGATGAAGAGTTCTTGAGAATCTGAACGTTTGCACACTTTTGTGACATTTGGGTTGGTTTTAATTATAGTTTTGCCCAACTTTGGAGGCTGGATTTCCCCCCCTCATGGATATTGCTCATGATTCTTCTGAGCTCACACACACACGGCCCTAATACATTGATATAACTAGATAAATCTAATTTTAACTGTATCACTTCTTTTACGTGCCCTGGGAATGTGATAGAAAAGACAGGTGAGGAGATCAGATGTGGGGAATCCCACAAACCGTGCCAGCACTTTTAGCTTAAGCTTCTTCTGGCAAAGAGCAAAACTTAGGGTGGGTGTTTGGAATGGGGGAGAAAGGAGTGCCCTCAAACTGGGGGACCCCCCCTTGGATTGGTGATTGGGGGAAAAGTGAGGGACACGGGAGGGCTTGGATGGGGCCTTGGGTGGCTTGCATTTGACCCCAGCGTCTGAGGAAAGGTGGAAAAACCGTCCTTGGAAGAAGAAATCCAGATCCCCACCGTGTGGGTGCTTCAGTCGGCGTGGGCACAGTGCACACGTTCAGTTTATTAAATGCCACGTGAGACCGTTTCTGCTGCTCCATTGAAGCCGTCACGGGAGCCTTGGTTGTGTAGCTGCTGCAGCCTCACCTGGCTGTCCTTCCGGGTTGCGAGAGCAGGGCAGCAGGAAACGCCGAAGGGCAGGGCCGTCACAAGAGTGGCACCCCAGGGACAGTCCCAAAACGCCTGGGGTGGCTGTGTTGAACCCCTTCTGGCTTTCACCTCCCCCGGAGCAGCTCGTTCGTGAATCTTTCTGGGTCCAGATGACCCATTCCAGGCCAACCCATCACCCCAAAAGACGGTGCGTGATGATTAGAAATAACCCAACATTGCTGGAAAAATTATTTTCCTTCTGCCTCCTGTAAGCATCGCGGCTCCGTGGGAACGGGGCGGTCTGGGTGGAGGACGCCACTGAGCAGGGGCTGGTGCCGCCACCCCCCAGCCCTGACTGCCCCCTCCCTTCCCCCTCCAGGAGAAAAGCCCTACAGCTGCTCCCACTGCAGCCGCGCATTCGCCGACCGCTCCAACCTCCGTGCGCACCTGCAGACGCATTCCGACATCAAGAAATACCAGTGCGGCGCCTGCCTGAAGACCTTCTCCCGGATGTCTTTGCTGCTGAGGCACGAGGAATCCGCGTGTTGTCCGGCGACCTGATGCCGCTGCCTCCGGGAAGACAGATCCACAGATTCTGAAACCGTTGCGGGGCGGGGGAGGGCCCCCGGACGGGCGGCTGAAGACCTGCAGCGGCACGGAGGCGCCGGAGCTGGGCTGCAAGGCCGGATCCTGTGGCGGCTCGTGCCTCCTCCTCGGAGGAAAGGGAGGCGTAACTCCCGCAACGGAAGGGGAGCCACCCCGGCTTGTGCAGCGAGGCAGCGGGGGGCCGCCGTCTGCCAGGCTGGCTTTCAGTCCCTCGCATCCCATTTCCCCGCAGAGGTGCCTCTTCCCGTCCCGGATTTGTGGAGCTGTCCAAGCAGCCCAGGCGCGTCCTGGCGCCGCTCCTTGGAATTCTCCCCATTTTCTGCCTTCCTGGGCAGAGGCGTGTTGGAAGGAAGGAGGCCCGGTGCTTCTTCCACCGTTTAGCCTTTGCATTAAAAAGCTCGGCCCTCCCTGCCCTGCTTTGGGTCCGTGGCGGTTTCCCTCCGTCCGCGTGCGTGCGCTAGCCAGCCCCCTCTTCTGCGTCCTTGTGGCCGTCCCGTGGGCCCTCGCCTCCCGGTCTCTAGCTTTGACGAGAGAGCTCGGCGGTGCCTTAAGCCATCTCCTTGCCGCCGCACGGGTCTTCTGGAAAGAAGCGGGGCCCTGGGGCAGCGTCCCTCTGACTGCGAGCAGTTTTCTTGCATGCCTTGCTGGGGAGCTGCCAACTCGCTTGCGCAGAGTCTCCTTTTCATCTCGTGGCCTTTAGCGAAGCAGAGGCCGCAAGCAGCCCCGCTGGGTTCCCTGGGCCGTCGTGCCCCTTGCCCCCGGGTCCCAATCCTGCGCGGGTTTCCTGGCTTTTGCCCTCCCTGCTCTAAAAGGCTGGGTTTTAAGCAGCAGTGATTTGGCCTGCTCTGCCCATGTGGCCCTCGAGGACTCCTGGGCGGTGGAATTCAAGAGAAGGTGTCCAACCTTGGGCCAGGTGGTATTTTTCAGCTCCCCCCCCTCCCTCTCTCTCTCTCTCTCTCTCTCTCTCTCTCTCTCTCTCTCTTTCTCTCTCTCTCTCTCTCTCTCTCTCTCACACACACACACACACACACACACACACGTGTTCACCCACTGAAAATACTGCAGTGCGAGTTTTAGGAAGGCTTCATCCAAACGGATGGAGGTTTTCAAAGGAATGTCAGTGCGGGCCGTGTCTCCAGTGGGGTGGCGATGGAAGCACAGCCGTGCCGGAAGCGGCGGCACCCAGTTCTGGGTTCCTGGCTCGTGATGCCCCCCGGAGACGCCCCGGGAACAGTCAGCACCCCGCTGGCCGCCCGAGGCTGGCGCCGGTTTTGCCACCTGCAGAGGAATGCTCTGGCAGGCACACACTTGTTCTCCCAGAGGCCGGATGGGGGCCGCCGCTGCTCCTCGGCGGCCTCGTCCCAGAGCGGCAGCGGGACCGTGAGGGGAGGAGGGCTGGAGCGGCGACGTCAGCCTGGCCGGGTGGCGAAGTCAGGCAAAGCCACGTTAATATTTATCATTTGGCCAGCGAGAGGAAGGGCCGCCGTGGCCTTGCCCAGAGTGCACACACCAGGCCCGGAGATGTCGAGAAGGAAGGCGCATTGTAAACGCAGTTCTATTTTGAGCCGCCGAGCATCTAAATACGGCTCCCGCACCTGTTGTTCCGAGGGCTGGAGCAGGAAAGAATGCTGCCCGGGCTAAAATAAGCCCGAATGTTTTCTCTCTGCATCTCGTGGCAAATGGAAAGTGCGTATAAGCGCGGCGGTGGGAGGGCTGCCCTGCCGGCCGGCCGCTCATCTGTCATCCCAGGCCAAGGGCTGCGACGGAGCCGGGCGGAATGAATGAATGAGTTTTTCCAGCCGTTCGCGGCTGGAAAGTGCACGACATGCCGCTGAGCCCCGGGACATGTTGCTCATCCGTTCTGCCTAGAACAGTTCGGGGAGGGGGGGAAAGCTGATTTGCCCCCCCCCCCACCCCAGGACACGCGCAAGAGCCGGCAGCCTCGCTTCACGGGTTGCTGCGCTATTCTGTCCCGAGCATTTGCATCAAGTGGCCAAAGGCTGAAATGGGCTGTTAGCACCAAAGTCCCGGGTTCGAATCTCGCCTCAGCTGGCAGGCCTGGACAAGCCGCCCTTCCACATCTGGACTTTCCCTGCCCTCCGCACCCCACACACACACACACACACACACTTCCAGCATGGGGATAATGGGACTCTTTGTGGGGGTTTCTGAATATAGAAAGGGCAGGGCTTGAATTCTCCCTTGGATGCTAACTCGCAGGAGAGCAAACTATGCGCCCAGGGATGGGGCAAGGACCGATTTCTTCAATCCAGATTCGTGGTGGTCTAGGGAGGCCGGGGGCTGGTGGAGACGCAGCCCCACTGCTGAATTCCTCAGGGCATCTTTGTGGGAAAAGGTTTTGCTCACACCCATCGATTCCGTCCAGTTGCAACATGAAGTATTTTGGCGTGTTGTAGCCTCGCATGGGCTCTGCCACGCTTTAGGACAAACTGGCTGCTGCTGAAGACGAAAAGGCCGAGAGCTGTTTTGTAGACACAGATCAATGCAATTTCCTGAGCTCTTGGGGCTTCCGTGTGGTTATAACGTATAATGTAACTTATGTTTGCCTTATGGCTAATGGGGCAGGATAAAAATCTAATAAATTAATCAAAAATAAATCTATGGGCGGTGCCGTGACAGACACCCACATGTGAAGATTCATGCCTTCGTTTTTTTAGTTATTTTACCCTCAAATAATGAATTTACAGTGACGGAAAAAGCACCTGCTCTGTAATACTTTGCACCATTAAAGTGGACTCGCTGCTTCTGTGAACGGTGGTTTTGCCAAGGCCTGCTCATCATTCGCGGATGGCGCTCATGCTCGGAGGCAGCGCTGGCTGCTGCTTAAGAGGAGCGAGTCTTCCCTGGGCCCAAAGGAACCACTGTTCTCAGCGTTAAAGTTTCCCAGATCCTCCTGCAATGCTCCTGGCATGGACAGCCTGACAAAACCACAAACGAGAAATACAAAGAGCATTTCCTCTTATACGAGTCTCTCCAGCCCAGCTTTTCTCCAAAGAACTCCAGGCGCATTTAATGCTCACAATAACCCTGCGAGGTAGGACAGGCTGGGGAGTCTGTGACCAGTGCAAAGTCTCTTCAACTTCCCGGCCAAATGGGGACTAGAACCCGGATCCTTTGAGTCCCAGTCCAGTCTTCCAACCCCTGTCCCACTCTGGGTCCCCACACTTTGAAATGGAAGCCCTGCTCCAGATCTCCTATTTCCAGAAAGGCTATGCAGGAGAAGCCACCTGCGGCGGCCGCGATGCATCGATCGCGGTTGTGATAGTTTCACGACGACTACGTAACCCCGCATTAAATTTAGGAATGGTGCCTCACAGCACACTCCGGAGAGGAGTGGAAAAGATGACCTTGTTTTTCTGTCTAGTTTTACAACTCTACGTTTTTGCAAGCTGCTGTTTCATGGCCTGGCCGATCTGCCTCGCAATGCGAGAGAGGAGGCATTGGCCACGGGGCCGGGACGCCCTGCCTCTCCCGGCTCGGCTTGCTTTCTCCCACGACTCATGGAAAAGCGGCACCGTGCCCCCAAATACCAGCCCGTATAAATAGACCTGCCCGCTCTTGGCTGGGGGTTTCTCCGGTGCTGACACCAACCAGGACCAAAATAGAGGGAGCGCTTCTATCTATAGCCCGCTGGCCAGCCCTCCACTTTCTATCTATAGCCCGCTGGCAGGCCTGAATGGAACCGAGCGCAGATGCACCGGGCGTAATGTTCGCATTTCGGGCGCTTAGCAGGTGGCAAAACAACCCGGCAACGGGAACAGGGAGGCCCGAGCTCGTTGGCCCTCGAGCAGCGTCATCCCAGAGGGGTGTCTCGTGGGGCGAGGCAGGTGGCTCCGAGCACCGGATCCCCCCGTGGACAGGGCGGGACCGGCCGATGGCCTTCCCTTCTGGGAGCGGTCCAGCTGCTGCACCCCATGGCCTGTTGGGCATCCCTCAAAGACGCATCTGTCTGGGAAGGCGTTTGTGCGGGGAGCGGATGCAAGGGCTTGGGCTGTTTTCTGGCTTTGTAGTGCTGTTTGGGTCGTGTGCTCGTTGGATCGGGGTAAACGCACCAGTTGCTCAGTGGTATCTGGCTTCTTAGCTCTTCCGGACTCCGTGCACAAGGACATTGTGCTTAGGAAGCTGGGTGAGGCTCGGAAGACCGAGGCTCTAGTCCCTCCTTGGCCATGAAGCTTGCTCGGTTAGACACTGAGCCTCGCCTTGGCCTACCTCACAGGGCTGTTGTGAGGATAAAACGGCGCCGTTCGTGAGGGTGCTGGCTTCCTTGGTGCAAAAGCGGTGGGCTGGACATGTAATAATAAAGACAAGGAAACAGAAGTGTTACGGTGATCTGCACTGTGGAATTTTTCCTTGGGTCAACGGGGCTTGTTTTCCATCTCTTTGTACAGTTTCGTTTGCTGCGGCGCCTTGCAAAGCTTCCCGACGGCCTTTCGCCGCGTGCGCGCCCTTCGGGCTCCCCCTAGTGGCCCAATTGCCGCACTACGCCTGGCCGGTTTTCTAAACTGACCCGCACGGGTAGGATAGGCGGATTCGTATCACCCCTTTTCTACATGCATTTCCCAGTAACGTTTCACGTGTTCGATTTCTGAAGGAGCAACAGGGGCAAGTTTCGCATGGATGCTCCAGATGCTTCTGGATTCAATTAAAGATATGCAGCCCAGGCTTTGAAAATCCAGAACACGTCTCGTGAGCAATTCCCCGCCGGAGGGCGCCCGGCTAAAAGGTGAATTGCACAAAATAAATAAATCTTTAGTGTCACTATGCAAACTTCCACCTTGGCTGAAGCTGTTCGGCAGAATCCCCATTATCTGCCCCCCCCATCGGTCCTTATTAGTTTGCGGGGTCCACCCCCTGGTTTTCCCCTACAAAGTCTATTTAAAATACTGAAAGTCAACCTCTCCACACCTGGCGCCCACCAGATGCTTTGGACTACAGCCCCACTATCCCTGACCATCACGCTCGTTGATAGTCGCCCCGAAGGGCAACCTGCACTGCCTATAGTGTCATGGCCGCCGCTCCGCTCGGACTCGCAGTGAGGCACGGCGCATGCGTGCACAGGCGCGGAAAAGCGTCCGGGTAGAAAATGCGTCCCCCGAGAAAGGTTCCCCGCGATTTCGCGGCTCCCGCTGAATGGGGAGAGCGAGGCGCCGTATCTTCCGACGCGCTGCGATTGGCTGACTGTGGCGCGCGTGGGGGGCGGGGCCGGCGCCGATTGGGCGGCGCCGCGGCAGCTGCTGCAGCGCCGGCCAATGCCAGGGAGCCCGAGGCAGGGGGGCGTTCCGCGGGCGCGCGGGCAGCGGCACTCGCGCGGCCCCTTTCGCGGCGGCCGCAGCTGGGCGAGCGGCAGCGGGAGGCCAAGGCCGGGCAACCCCGCGGCTTCGGCCCTGCGAGCGGGCAGCCCGGGCCGCCTTGCGCGCCCGCCATGGCCGGAGGCAGCGAGCCCGCGGCGGTGGCGACCTGCACGGCCCCCGTGAACATCGCCGTCGTCAAGTACTGTGAGTCTTCGCGCCCGCCGCGCTCGGCGATCCGGCCGCTGCCCTCCGGGCGGCCGCGACCGCAGCTCCCATCATCCCTGGCCGCGGTGGGGGGGGGCTGGAGCCGTCCCCCCGCGGGCTCCCCGCTCGCTCGCCGTTCCGCACTCGCGGGCAGGGCGAACGTCTGAACGGGGAGTTCGCGTGCCGGCCGGTGGCCGCAGCCTTGCCGTTGGACCCGCGTCTGATTCCGCGCCGGGCGGCGGCCTGGCGGGGCGTGCGGCGCGCCCCGTTCCGCCCTGCGGGGAGCCAGTGGGCAGAGGCTGGCCTGGAGGCCTGGCTCGAAAGACTGGCGTTCTGCGCGGGCTTCTTCCACTGCATAGGCCGGTCGTGGAGGTTTACTTCTGAGTAAACACAGAGCGACCGGCAGACGGGGGACTCCGCCCTTTGCAGACGAGATTAAAAGGGCAAGGAAGGAAAGGTCCCCCTTCTTCGCCTTGTTCTTTGGATGCCCCCGAGAAATCCCACGAGCGTGGGAGCCAAGCGATATTTCCCCGCGGGGCTTATTTTATTTATTTCGATTTATAACCTGCCTTTTTCCTGCAAAGGGCTCAAGGCAGCTTACATCTCCTCCATCTTATCCCCACAACAACAACCCTCTGGAGGATTAATCTTGGTGGAGGCAGCAACCCCTTGGGTTGTGCAATCGAAATGCAAGGCTTTTCGGGCCACCCATCAAAACTAATTGTGTGTTCTGGCGAATGAGTAATCGTTTTTAAATTAAACATTAGATCGGGAAGATGCTAATCATGGAAAGTCTTGCTAATGCCTGGTCGAGCTGGATTTTTTTCTGACGTGTCCAGAAACCATGGCTTCCGAGAGCCTGCCCTTTTAGGTGGTCTTCCGTTCAAAGGGTCCGATCAAGGGCCCTGCATCGGAGGCAAGGCTGTTGCTGGCTTTGAGAAGCAGAGGAAGCCGGTGCACTGGTTTCTCAGCTATAAAGGGAGCGATTGTGCAAGAGACCATCTCCCCCCCCCACACACACACAACCAGACACTGGTCAGCTTGGTTGAATTACATTAAGCCCCTCCTTGCACTCCAGGGAGGAAGAGAGCAAAATTATCAATTGTGAAGTTATCCACAGCAGGACCTACCTGCTTGCTGAGGCATCATTTATACTCTGAAAGTGCAACTGTGGGTTTTATTTATTAAAGAAATTTATGTTCTCTTCTTGCAGCATGAGTCGCGTCCCCAGGGGCCAAAAGCAATACCTTAGAAGATTATAAAAGGCTTGTAATTGAGTCTAATTATATTTAAAGCATAGGTGCCAATTCATTAAAATAATTAGCATTTAAATGAATGCCTTGGCATTTTCTTTACAAAATCAGATCAAATTCTGCATTTCAAATGGACGTCGCTTGGCCATTAACAAACAGTGTGAACATTGCTACTTTCTCTGTGCACCACAATTGAACACTTCCTGGGTTAATGGATCTGTTTCCCATCAGAGCCGCTTTCTCGCCCCTCCTGCCCTCCCAAGTTTCCGCGTACAAGCAGGAGGGCTGAGAAAAGCCAAACGCCAGGACTGGAAGAAGGAGATCATGCCAGCTGGGAATAGTTTCTCTTCTAGTTCATTTATTCATTTTTCGATTTATATCCTGCCTTTTTCCTACACGGGGCTCAAGGCAGCTTACATCATTCTCCTCCATCTTACCCCCACAACAACCCTGTGAGGGAGGCTGGGCTGAGAGTCTGGGACTGGCTCAAGTCACCCAGTTGGCTCCATGGCTGAGCGGGGACTCGAACCCAGGTCACCTGAGTCCCAGTCCCATGCTCTTAACCACCACACCACACTGGCTCTGGTTATTGCTTATAGACCACTTGTGTGGGCAACAGAAACACCCAGCCGGCCTGAGGTTCTGATCGCAGCAAAGGGATCCAGTGGCAAAGCATGCCAGGCTCCGCTTCCCACACTTCAAAGACTGTCCTTCTTCACTCAGGGGGAAAACGAGATGAGGAGCTGATTTTGCCAATTAATTCTTCGCTCAGTGTCACGCTGCACCAAGATCAGGTCAGTATCAGAGAGTCATCAGTGTCCAGGTAGGTTCCAGGTTGCAAAAGAGGGGTGGTCGGCTGTGGAATCGGGGCTCGCAGGGTGGGCAGAAGCACCGGTTGCATGAGGAGAAATCCCGACGAGGTGCTCGTTCGAACCCCAAACTGACCAGCCTTTCAGGAAGGACCCGGCAGCTGTGGTGCCAAAATCTATTTGTTGTTTTTTGAAGGGGATATATCTGCCAGAGCGTGGAGTCAGTTTGCATGATTTTGGGCCTGGTCCCCAGCACTGAGATTCCTGAATTCACAAAGAATGCACATTTTCCCCATCCTTAGCCCTTGTTCGGTTGTTGTCTGGAATCCGTAACTGAGATGTGCAGCTGTGAATCAGTGGAGGTGGTTACCCCGTAACCTGCCTAGATATTGAAATCATTCCAAGGTCCTTCTCACTCCCAATATGGCATGTTTCCACATATTTCTCTTTTTTAGTATTTTGTGCCATTTTTAAAGGCTGGGCTGATTTCTTAATTTATTGTAGTCCCGTATTGTAAAGATGGTTGACAGAAAATCTGTTTGCCACCTCGAGTCTTTGTAAAAGCCGCTTCTGAATTCTCTCAGCGTTGCAAAAGTAACCGAAAACGATCTGGTTGCTGAACAGTCTGGTGCATGTTTGCTCAGAAGTGGACCCCACTGTGCTGACTGGGGCTTGCTTCCGGGGCAGTATGCCTGTAGCTGCAGTCTGAGATGGGGCTCCTACACAGAGTGAGCCCCGTGGGCCAAAGCGGGGCTTCCTTCCGAGTAAACATGCCGAGAGCTGCAGCGCGCACCTCTCAGATCCGAGGCCAACAGAAAGTTCTTCCTGACTTCGAGGCCTCTTGCCTTGTTCCAGCTCAAGACCACCACCACGGCCGCCATCAGCCGCGACTTCACGGAGGACCGCCTCTGGCTGAACGGGAAGGAAGCTGACCCGGGAAACCCCCGTCTCCAGTCGTGCCTACGGGAGGGTAAGTCGCAGTCCGAAGGCCAAGGCCGCTTTGTCAAAGGTAGCTTCTTGCGCCCGCCTTTGGGAAGGTGCTGGGGCAGGGGGAGCTTAGCATCAGCATCCGTGTTGGATAAAGGCGGAGAAAAGTTTTTTGCTCATTTGGCTGAAGGGCAGCTTCCGACTGCTGGATGAGGCCCCCGGGCGTTCCTTGGACGCCCACCCCCTTCCCCGGCCGTGCTCCTTCGCCTCGACCGCCGAGGCTTCTGGGTTTCCCTCCGTGCTGCACCCTTGGCCGGCCGGCCGGCCTCTGCGATTGGCAGTGGGAACCTGAGCTCCCCTGGGTGGGCATTCTTGCCATTTTGGGGCCTCCCCCATGGGCCTTCGCCCCCCACCCAGGAGCCTTTCCAAAACTGCATTCTGTCCCTGGGCTAACGAGCTCAACATCTGGCGCAGGATCAGACACGATAGCTGAGCCGGCAGGATGTGGTAACTCACCCCCAGGGGCTGTGTGTGGCTGGAGCATGGATTGCCTTGAACTGTGGGTTGTTTCTGTTCGTGGCTTGGAAACCACAAACAGCCCAGGAAGAGAACCCGTGGCTCGTTGCCAGGTTGTGAGCGATGGGGTGCTCTTTGTGGCTTCTTCTCTTGACGGGGTTTAGACAGTGTGGTAGCCCATGGCTAAGAAGAGCCCCCACCAGCCCGTGGGTTGCTTGAGCCCGCTCACCTGGCGGAGCGTCAGGGGTGCCCCCTGTGGGAGAGACCCCAGCGGGACACTTTGGAGTTGTGTGACGTTGTGCCGGGCAAGCGCAAGAACGTGGTGCAGCCCGGTCCCACTGCCAGTGACGCGGCCCGGGCAACACGTAGGACCGCAGGGTTCTTCTCTGCCTGTCCGTCTGTCCGTCCGTCTGTCTTCTGGGTGCGTGGCTGCCTCGGCTAATGCCCTCTTTCTTGCAGTGCGTCGCCTGGCTAGGAAGCGCCATGGGGGCGGCAGCGGTGGGGACGCCGCGTCCCCCAGCCTGGCCTACAAGGTCCACATCGCTTCGGAGAACAACTTCCCCACGGCGGCCGGGCTGGCCTCTTCCGCGGCTGGCTACGCCTGCCTGGGTGAGTGGAGGAGCCGCCCGCTGGCCCCTGGGCTTGGTCCTCCCCCGCTCAAAATGGCGCCCCTGGCTGGGAGCAGAGCTGGGGAAGGCAGGGCGGGCAAGCTGCAGGCGCCTTGCAGGAGGGCTTGTGCGCACTGAAATGTGGGGCTGCTGCGCGGGGCCTGCAACGCACTCTTGCACCGTCGCCCCTCCTGTTGGATTTGGCCGTCCCTCCTGCAGCGCTGCCCTGTTCCGTCTCGGCCCTCCGGCAATCTGGGTGGTTTCTAACTGCAGCGCCCTGTGCTGGCTGGGGTTGATGGGATAGGAAGCCCAGAAGAACTGGGGGGGGGGGCTGTAGAGGGTCCACACCGTCCATGCAGTTCTGCCTGTAGGGAGTCCGCCCGATGCCCCAAGGGGAGGCGTGTCTCTCCCCGTCCCACCTGGCAGGGCTGTTGTGAGCACGGAATGCGGGGATGGGAGAGTCACGTGCTGCTCCGAGCGCCTGGCAAGGCTGACAGGCTTCATCCCAAAGCCCAGGATGAGGCCCGCTTTGCCGCAATCCGGGCCCCCTGCCCTGGACCCCAGGGGGCCTTCCTCCGCCCCTCCTCGGAAGGGGAGGCTTCCAAGGCATGCCGTGCTTTTGTGCCTGACCTCCCAGGTGGCCGGGCCTGTGGGGGGCGCCTGGCCAGTCTTCGCGGCCGCGGGACGGCCTTCCCCAGCGGCCCCCTCTGTGCCGCGGGAAGGCGGTGCTGATCCGGGCCCCTCTCCTTGCCGCCCTAGTCTACACGCTGGCCCAGCTGTACGGCGTGGAAGGGGAGCTCTCCGAAGTGGCCCGCCAGGGCTCCGGCAGCGCCTGCAGGAGCATGTTCGGGGGCTTTGTGCAGTGGCTGATGGGGGAGCGCGCGGACGGGAAGGACAGCGTGGCACAGCAGGTGGCCCCGGAAGCACACTGGCCCGAGCTGAGGGTCCTGATCCTGGTGGTGAGTCGGGCGGGCGGGGCGTGGGCTGGCAGAGGCTTCTGGAATGGGATTCCTCCAGATGGGTCACACTGCATCTCCCATGATCCCCCAGCCAGCTGGCTGGGGGACTATGGGAGATACAGCCCCACTCGTCTGGAGGCCGCCGTCTTTGGAATCCTGGGACAGGGTCCTCTGGCGGTTGTCGAGGGCACTGCGCTGCTCAGCACCTGACCGGGCCTTCTCCCCGTCCCGCCTCCGCAGGTGAGCGCCGAGAAGAAGCCGGTGGGCAGCACGGCAGGCATGCAGACCAGCGTGCAGACCAGTCTCCTGCTGCGGGTGAGTGGCGCGCTGCCCCCTGCCGGCAGCCCCAGGCCTGTCTCAGCGAGGCTGTCCTGCTGTGGTCGATGGGCCGGGGAAGCCGCGGGTTCGGTGGGGACGTTGCTGCCGGCAGAACGCCTCTGCCTGTCTCTCTGCCTCCCCCGCGATCGCCTGCTCCGGGAAGGGCCCCTGCCCAGCGGCGTCTCTGCCCATTAGGTCGCTCTTTCCCATCCGGTGTTTTGGACTTCGGCACGCGGGGCTGGGGGCATGGAATTCTGGGGGCTGTAGTTCCAAGCAGTGGGCGGTCGCCAGTTTCGGGGAAATGGCTTTTAGGCATTTGAAAGCCAAGCCTATTATGGTCGTGGTTAAGCATCTCCTTTATACCTTGTCTTTCTTGGAACCCAAGCACAGCTTTCAGGTTTCCCCTTCTCTGCATTTTATCCCCACAGCAACTCCCCCGTGAGGCGGTTTAGGCTGAAAGGCCCTGCCTGGCCCAAAGTTGCCCCATGAACTTCGTGGCTGCTTAGGGACTAGAACCTTGATCTCCCAAATCCCACCCAGCACTCCCACTGCTGCCCCACACGGCCTCTCATTTTGGGCTTTTGAGAGAAGCAGCACCATGCATGGTGTCCCGAAGCGCCCGTGCCCGGACACACACGGTGCATCATTGCCCTCGGGACACCCGGCCCCACGTGTAGCAATCCTCCCCTCCATCTTCCAGCACCGAGCCCAGGCGGTGGTGCCAGCCCGCATGGCCCAGATGATCCGGCACATCCAGCAGCGGGACTTCGAGGCCTTCGGCGAGCTCACCATGCGGGAGAGCAACCAGTTCCACGCCACGTGCCTGGACACCTTTCCGCCCATCTTCTACCTCAACGACACCTCCAAGCGGGTGGTGGCTTTGGTGCACCGCTTCAACGCCCACTGCGGCAGAACCAAGGTGGGCTGCGCAAGCTGCATGTGCGGTGCGGGGGGGGGGCTGTAAATGCCAGCTTTGCAAGCGGAGCGCCCCCCCCGCTCCCCCTCCTCTTCTTCAGTACCAATCATTTAGTTACTCATTTCGTATCTGTCCAGGGAAGAGCTGCTGGCTGCTCAGAGCTCTCTCCACAAGCGCCTTCATCCTCTCACGCTGTGACCTGTCCTGTCTTGGGGTCAGGAAAAATTTGTGCTCTGGCTTTCTGCCCCTCTCCCCTATACCTGCAAGGTGTCCTTGCAGGGTGCCGTCACCTGGAATCCTGTGTCCAGTTCTGGGCACCAAGATTGAAGAAAGATGCAGGTAAATTAGAAAGGGTCCAGCGGAGGGTGGCAGAAAGGATCCAGAGCTTGGAAATGCTGCCCAAGAGGAGAGACTGGGAGAACTGGGCCTGTTCAGCCTGGAGAAGAGAAGACGGAGGGGGGACATGGCATCCCTCTTTGAGGACCTCAAAGGCTGTCAAAAGAGGAAGGCCAAGCTCGCTTCCTGCTGATGCCAGAGCGCAGGACACGGAAGAACCAATTCAAGCTGCGATGACCCAGATTCAGGCCGGCCATCAGGAAGAGCTTCCTCGCTGTCAGAGCAATTTGGCAGTGGGACCAGCTGCCCGGAGAGGTCGTGGGCATTCAGAAAGAAACTGGGCAGCCACCTGAGTGGGAGGGTGTGGCTTGGTGTCCTGCAGCAGCAGGGGGGTGGCCCCGATGGCCCCTTCCAGCTCTGCCCTTCTGTGATCCTGCAGGTGGCCTATACTTTTGATGCCGGACCCAACGCGGTTCTCTTCATGTTGAGCGACACAGTGGGCGAGTTTGTGGAGGTGCTGAAGCACAGCTTCCCGCCAGAGAAGAACGGCGACCAGTAAGGGAGCTGCATTTGTCCTCGCCGTGTGGCAGTGGCCGGTGGGGGCGGGGGGGCATCACGGTGGCCAAGAAACAGAAAGCCCTCGCATCTTTCCTGAAGGAGCAAAATACTTTTATTTATTTACACACACGGTCCCTTGCTTGGAGGTCGGGCCTCTTCGTCTTCTAGGAGGGATGGGCACTTTGTGGCCCTCCAAAATTTGGGACTACAGTTCCCATCCACGCTAGCCAGCACGGCCCTTGGGGAGAGTTTATGGGAGACATCTGGAGCGGCCCAGCCCTGGTCTGGGACAGATGTGGCGGCTTCCCATACTGAAGTCTTAGTTACAGTGCATCGACTGCCTTCCCAGCTTGGTGCCATCCAGGCGTTCAGGATGCTGCACAAGGTCTCTGCTGGTACTGACGGGGGCACAAACCCAAAATACCTGGAAGGACCCAGGCTTGGGGAGGGAACCAGTAAAAACATTTGCAGTGGGGTTATTTTTTTCCATTTAATGTTACAGCTCTCACTTTTGATCAAAACAGTCAATAGCCAAAGTCATTTGCAACTGCAAATAATATAGTGTAAACAACACAAGCCCAGTACTTTTGTTAATAGTTAAATAACAGTCAGCAGAGCTAAAACCTTGGTAGGTTGTCTTAGACTTGATTGGTCACAAAGGGTGTTGTTTCCTAGTGCTTTAATTAAACCTGCAGTGCCCACACCGGGAGGGCCCCGGAGGCCCGTGGTGCATCGGCGCTTCCGACGGAGCACTGGAAGTGGGGTTGGGGAAGGTGCCCAAGCTCGGCCCCTGACGCCCACCCGCGGGTCACGGCCCCGAAAGTGGGCCGGGGGAAGGCTTCCCAATTGGCCAGGCTTGCCAGGGGAGCGCCCCTTACAGCCTTCGGCGCCTGAACGTTCCTCTGCAGGGCTGCCTTGGCCTGGGAGGGAATTCCGGTGGTCGCCTTTGAGACGGCCCCGGCGCCAGCCCCTCGGCCTCATCCGGCCAGCCCTCCCTCTCCCCTCTTCCCGTAGGTTCCTGAAAGGCTTGCCGGTGGAGGCCGTGACGCCGTCCAAGGGACTCCTCTCTGCGGTGGTGCAGGATCCGGTCCCAGGAGCGATCCAGTACTTGCTGCTCACGAAGGTATGGCTGGAGTGGGCTGGCACCCCTTGTCGTCCTGGGCACGGGGGCAACAGCGCAAGCCGTGGCCTGGCTCCCGGCACCGCAGCCTCATCCTCCTCCACGGGGCCTGTGCCCCCGCAGCCGCCCACACCCGGCCCTGCCGCCTGAAGGGAGCCTTCGCGTCGCCCCTCTGTGGTCGCAGGCACCCGGAGGGTCAGATCCGGCCCACGCGCCAGGCGGCCTTCCCGCTCGCACCCGCAGTCTTTTCCACGCTGGGCCCCTCAAGAACGGCTGAATGCTGTGGCACTCCCGCACCCATGTTCCCCAGCACCTGGCACACACAGTGCATCGCTGGTAGCCCCGGAGAACCGTTTCCTTCTCTGTGGCTTTCTCTGGCTCCTGTTTCAAGCCGCCCACTTTTGCGCTGCGTCTGCGGGCATCGTTTCTGCCAATTAAAAGCAGCGGGGCCGAGTGATGCAGTCTGCGTTCTCCCAGCATCCCTGTTAATCGTCAGCGCCGCCTGGCCTGGCCTGGCCTGGCCTGGCCTGGGAGCGGTGCCTGCCTTCGCCCCGGGCCTGGCTCTAACTCGGCTTCCGTTCTCTCTGCAGCCGGGGCCGGGGCCCGCGCTCGTGGAAGATGCCCGTGGCCACCTCCTGGGAGCAGACGGGCTGCCCCGGAGCAGCAGCTGAGCAGCGTGTGCCCCATCTCGGGGCTTCCCCAGGAGCCCCACAGCTGTGCCTGGGGGCAGCGCGGAAGATTCACCCAGCAAGCAGCGTGGGTGGAGGAGCAGGGGAGGCTGTGCCTGTGTGGGATTATGGGAAGGCCTGGCACTTACACGCCGGGGCTCTTTCTGCCTGTCCTTTCCTTAGTGGGTGTTTGGGTGTCTGTCCGATTGTCAGGGACTTTGCTGGGCTAAAGCTGGGAGAAGCCCCCTTTCCTGGCGGGCCTTTCTCTCGGAGCTCCAAGGACCAGAATTTCCTCTCTAGCGCAGGGTGGGCCACCAGAGAGCTTCTGTCGAGCTTCTGCGGGCTGTTGCCACGGCTGCCGTGAACCCGTCTTTGCCAGCTGGCTAGAGTTGCACCTCTGGGTCGGATGACCTGGGCGGCACAGCCCACGGACCTCACCGCCGGCTCCCCCTCCCAGTTTCCCCTCCTCTGCCGGGGCAGCAAGAGCCTCAGGGAGGAAGATTTGGCCGGGGGTGCAAAGAGTGCTGCCCAGTCGCATCTCCGATGGCACTGGCCCGGGGGGGGGTCCAGCAGGGGAGGGTGGGCTGCCGGCCAGGCGGACATCTCCATCGTGCTTCGGCCCCCTGCCCCCAGGCCCTCTGGGCTCTGCCTTCTGCACCAGGTTCCAGCGGCTCTTTTCTTGAGGGTGTCCTGTGTCACTGAGCTGGTTTCCTTCTGAACGGGTGCTTTTAAAAGGATGGAATGTGATACCCTGAACTGTGCCTGTCTTCTCTCTCCATTGCTCATCTCCTTTTTTGCTGGGCTACAGAAAGTTGGGGTCAGGGGCCGACTCTTCTTCTCTGGGGCCCCCAGGCAGCCACCCACTTCCCCGGGGCCCCACGGCGGCCATTGGCTTGTGCTTGCCCGCCTAAAATGCTGCTCCACCTCTCCAGCAGCTTAGTTCCTGGAAGGAAGGCTTGTGACGGAAAACAGGCAAGTCCTTTCCCCCCCCCCCCCCCGGTCTGTCTTGGCTCCACCCGTTTTGTCCCACCCTCAGCCCCCAGGGGCCTCCCTGAAATGGAGTCGGGAACCCCCCGCCCCCCCAGTCTACAAAATGTGCGGCTTTGATAAGGGAAATTAAAGCTGGGTTGTGTAGAAGAAATTGAGGGTGGGGGGGAGACACTGAAAGGGCTGTTGGGCATCGCTGGAGGCAGGGATGCCCGCTGGGGCTGGATTTGGGATTTAAAGGGGGCGGGCAATGCGTGGGTGCGGGAAAGGGCCTGGGGACAACTCTCCACTATACCTGAAGAGGAGAAGGGAAGCGAACGGGTCCGCCGGGAGCCCACGAGGCTGTGGCTGCCGCCTGAGCCTCGGGACCCCTCGGGTGGCCTGCTCCTGGCTGCAGCGGGGCCAGGTCTCTGTGCCCTGCAGTGGGCTGGCTTCCCATGAGCACCGGTCTTGGTTCATCCAGTTCCTGGCAGCCAAGAGGAAGTCCGTCTTGCTGGCTTTCGTGCGCTTGCCGCCCCTGGAAAGCAGCAGAAACCCCGCTTTTTCTTAAGAGACGTTGCACAAATTCCGGTGCCTCCCAAGAGGGAGGGGTTCCCCCCCCCCCCCCACGTCACGGAGCCTGGGCTGCTGCTTTGTGAGTAAACGGCACGGTGCGCCTGACGCATGATGAAGCATGACTTGCACCCTCCACACCTCGTCCTAGACCTCACCCTAAATGCTGCCCTCTTTCCGAGCATTGTGGGGCAGAGACCGGAGGCCTTTTTAAGTGGGTCCTGCCGGGCTGACTCTTCTGTGTGGGGCACGGCAGCTGGGCCGCCTCCGCCAGCTCGGCCGGACTGGCGATTTCTCTCTCCAGATGCACCCGGCTGTCTCTTTAGAAGACATGCACCACAATCAAGGCATATTTCCTGAGCATGTCAGGACTTGCAGGTCTTTTCCCACTCTAAACAGTCACCCTACGTGGCTTGAAAGGATGTCCTTCTCCACCTGGACAGCATCCCTAATGGGGCAATTTGTTTTAAAACCACTGATCTTCTGGCTGCTGGTGCCATGGGTTATGGGACAAAGGCCACCCGCCTTCTCTAATCGGGTGGATTCTGGATGTTCTGGGTGCCAGTTTCCATCAGCCCCAGCCACCATGACTTCCTGTCAGGGGTAGTGGGGCTGCAGTCCAGCGCATCTGGTGGGCACTAGGTGTGGAGAGGACTTACAGTATTATAAACAGCTTTTGTAGGGGAAAATCAGCCTGCAAACTACTGAGGACCGAAGGGGGCCAGTAATGGGGATTCTGCCGAACAGCTTCAGCCAAGGTGGAAGTTTGCATAGTGACACAAAAGACTTATTTATTTTGCTGCAATTCACCAAAACGGGCTTGTCCTCCTAGGTGGGCGCCCTCCGCATGGCTTGGACCACAAGCCCCATCCTCCCCAGCCAACACGGCCGTCGCACTTGCCGGGCACCACACTGGGAAGGCACTGCCCCTTGAGCGGGGGTAGGAGGGCAAGCTGCCCCCTCTTCTTTCCGCCGCGTCGGCTGCGCAACCAGCGCCTCGCAGATGCTTCGCGCCACGATGGGCTACGTCGTGCAGGCCGGCTGGGGCCGCCGCGGGGGGAGCCTCGCGAGGGCAGGGCGCCTCCGGGACGAACGAAGAGCCCTGTGCGAGCCGGAAGCCGCCCGCCCCTCCCGGCCCTTGGGGCGTCGCCCCGCGCTGCTCGCAGGGGAGGAGCAGGAAGGGACGTAGCGGGGCCGCCCGCGGACGCCCCCCGCGCCTCGCCACGGCCCGGCGCGGACGGCCCTGCTGGCATCCCGGGCGCGGCGCGGCGCGGCGCGGCGCGGCGATGGGGCGCATTGAGTGGGCCATGTGGGCGAACGAGCAGGCGCTGGCGGCCGGCCTGAGTGAGTCTCCCCGGCGGGCGAGGGCCAGGGCCAGGGTCGAGCCCCGGGCAAGGGGCCCCCGAGCAGGTGCAGAGCGCCTCCGCAGCCAGCGAGCGATCGGCGCCGCTGCAGAGGAGGCGCGGCCGAGCCCCGGCACCTCTCGCTCCCCGCTCCGCAGAAGACGCCCCGCAAGCGTTTGTCCCGCGAAACCGCCCTCCCTCCCTGCCTCCTCGCCAGGTTGCCTTCCTCTCCCCCCGCCGCCCCCCCATCCAGCCTTCAATGAGGGAAAAGGGAGCGCTGGAGGAAGCGCGTTGCAGCAGCTCCGGGAAGGATCGCGCGCCCTTCAATGTCCCGCTCGGGCTGCGCGCGTCTCTCTGCTGCTGCGCTTCGGAGAGCGGCGCTTGGGGCTCCTCTCCGTAGTTTGGGGGGAAATCGGTGGGCGGCGCGAGTAGGGAGGTCTGCAGAGGCGAGGCCTGGCGGCTCGGTGCGCCCCCCTCGTCCCTTTCCCGTGCGGAGCGGGGTCGTGTTTCTGTGCGCCAGGAAAGGCTGGCTTGCGTGGCTTGCAGCACCTTTCGCGCCCGAAAGCGGCCCTTCGGGCAGCCAACGCGAGGCGACCCCAGAGCCAAGGAGTGACAACCGTCACAAGCGCCGAGCAGACACAGAGTGCGGCGGGGTGGCGTTTTTGCCTCCTCGCTGGAATGGCGAAGCGGAGTCTCCAAACTCCAAGGGGCGAACGCTTCGAGGGACAGGTGCCTGGCTCGCCATTCTTCTCCGGGCCTGAGCGGCCTGCCTCCTGGGTGGTGGACACAGGCACCCCCTTTCTGCTCAGCCTGGGGGCTGCTTTTGGGCTCTGGGCATAGGATGTTCGGGGGTCAAGGGCTGCCCACACACAGACTCTTCGCCCAGTTGTGGGTGGACGCCATCGGAGGGGAGGGAGCCCTTGGCTGCAGGATTCAGGAAGTAGAAGAGCTGAAAACAGAGGAAGGAAATGCTGCGGCCCAGCCTGGGGGACTTTCCCTCCTGCTGGGCGGCCTGCTTCCCCAACCCGTGCCCGGTAGTCTTGTGGCAGGAGCCAAGGCCTTGAGGCCATACCTGGGCAGGTGCTACCCGGAGGGCACTAACGGGGAGTGAGAGACGCCCCTGCTTTTGTCTTGTAAAGATCCGGACTGCCATGTCGACCAACATCGCTGTCTAAACAGAGAGGGCAGAGGAGCAGAAGGGTTTTTCGTGGAGGGAGGGCCCTTCTGTGATAAAAGCTCCCAAGACACAAATCGGGTGGAGAACAGCAGAAAACGGAAGGGCGAGTCATGGAATGAGGTGGAATCCAGTCAGGTGTTGCTAGGAAAAAGCCAGACTGGCCACCTTGTGGTGGTGCCCCATCAGAAGGTGGTGGATTCCCCGAAGGATGTTTCCTGCCGAAGCAGCTTGGTATCCTGTCCCGAGGACGAGCCCTGCATCCCCAGAGGTGCGAGGGAATAAGGCACCGAGGCATCAGTCAAGATCAGAGATGTGTCACTGCAGCCGTTTTCCCCGATACTGCCCCAAAAATCTTTCTAGAAACATCCCCCTCCGACGGTCTGAAAACCGGAAGGACCAGTGAGTCTGCCTGTCCCGTTGTTACATTGCTGGCGGCAACACACCAAAGCAGAAAGATTTTTGAACAAGTAGTTTAAAGCAGGGGCCAAGATGCTAAAAATATAAACAAGCTCTAACTGCTGAGATAAAACGTTCAGCCATCTAAGGGAACCAATCAGAGGAGCATTTAAGCACCTAAAAAAAAGCAGTCAGATTCAAAAACGCTGCTTCTTAAAAAAAGAAAGAGTCTTGTGGTATCTTAAAGATGAACGGAATAGCAGAAGTTTCGGGAGGCTGTTTATTCTCTGCCACAGAAAAATCTGCATGGTTTCTCTCTCTCACTTTCACTCTGCCTCCCTCCGGCCTGTTGCCTCTTCTTGCTACACGAAGCAACCCGGAGCCTTCAAAAGCCTGTGCGTTTGTCGTGATTTTTGGGTAGCCCAAATAAAGGCCCCGCACTGACAGGGACTCTGAAATATTACTGCGGACTGGCCTGAAGGTCCTGCCAGACTGTTGGTTTTGCTGCCTGCCCTGGGCGAACACTTTGAGTGGGCATCATTGGGTCCCCCCAGGCCTGGGTCCCCCGCGACCGAAAAGCTGCTGCTCGGTTTTGCCGGCTTCTTTTGTGTTACTGAGCCTCTGTGCTGTGATCACAACCCGGAGACTGCACGGTGCAGCCCGTTCGCTTCCCGGGGCTGGCGGGGTTGTGTGTTTGCGGCCTTTGCAAAACGGCCTTGGAGACCGAAGCTTTGTGTGATCCTGAAAGCGGGATCCTGGGAGCAAAATCTGTGCTCGACTCCATTTTCTCTTCCCCGCGCTGCTTTAATTGCTTCCAGAGGGGGAAGATGGTGAGGCAAAGGCCGAGAGAGGGAGGGTTTCACTTCTCGGTTGCTGCTTCCTCCTTTTCGTAAATGTGGTGCATTAGTTCAGGTCACCTGTGGTCTCACGTCCCAGGAGGAAATGAACTCAGAACTCGTGAGCCTGAAAGGCGGGCCGTCCGACCAGCCTTGTGGGGTCAGACCAAAGGCCTATCAAGTCCAAAATCTCCTTTCCCACAACCCACAAAGCTCTCTGGAAAGCCCCCAGGCAGGTCGTTACACTCCCTGGCCGGCAGGAGCGCAATAGCCTGCAACGTGGGGAGGCCCGTCCAAAGATGGTGGGCCACCACGAAGAAGACCGTGGCCTGCCGGTGGCTCTTTCGGGTTGCCGCACTTTGGAATTTAGAAGGCATTATTTTGTGGTGGGTGAGAGGAGCAAAGGCTACTGGTGTGCAGATCGCGAAGGCAAAGGCCTTTCTCTCCCTCTCTGTCCTGTGTAGTTCTGGTGACTGGCGGAATTGTGGCAGTTTCGGGGCAGTTCAAGAATTGGGAGTTCGCTGCATATTCCATGTATCCTTCCGTGAGGTTTGCTGCTCAAAATCCCGCAGTCTTGCTGGCTCAGCCTCGTGGGAGTGCCGGCGGCTTACGGACCACGGGAGAGTCATGCTTGTAGCAGAGGAAGCCTTCCCCCGGCTCCACTCCCCACGTTTCCCCCGGACGCTGTTGCCATATGGGGCCCAAATTAGGTCCGCTGGGGGTTTCGTGAGCTCAGGCCACTCTGCCAGCCGTTCGGACCACCCATGAGCTCCCCAGCCTGTTTCCCATGTGGAAAATGGCCGTCAGAGGGACGTGGCTGCCAGGAGCTGTGGAAAAGGTGATCTGAAAGAGCTGCAGAAATGTTTTTAATTCTCCCTGAACCTTTGGGCTAGAGGGGGGATGAATCAGAAAGCGGAACAGAAATCCTGAAGCTTGTGAAGATTTGGGATGATGAATCCCTCCCCCCCATGGTCTCCTGGCTCCCTTGGCAACCGGGTCTGGTGTCCGTCCCTCTCCCACCAGTGACACACAGCCTAACCTGCGCATTGCGTGTCACAAATCACGGGACAGGACTCTGCCCCTATGAACATACAGTGGAGGAGAGACAGCCTACCCCGTTGGACCCTCGCCGTGTCTTTTTCTTCCCCTTCCTTCCATGGCTTGCATGCCAGGACGGGACAACAGGGCTGCTTCGTAGGAGCACCGTCACAGCTTTGCCCGTATAGTTTGCCGGAGGCTGAAAAGAAATTCTCCCTCTTGGGAAAAAGGGGAACCAAACGGGGAAACAGGGAACGATATCAATTATAAGTGTCCCCCCGGCCCCGGCAAACAGAAGAAGGGATTATGGGGTGCCGAAGGAGTTGTGAATGGCCATACAGAAAATCCTCCATGTCACAGCCATGGAGTTACTCTTTCCTCCTTAACTGTCTCCCGGAAGAGCGGCTGGAGTGTTGATCTGCCTCCTGGAGTACCCCCGAGGGAAGCGGGAGAAGGGCTCCACTATAGAGAGATGGTAAGTGCCCAGTTCCTTTCTGATGGGGATCGAATGGGAAGCTCAGGTTTAAAAACGAAACCTAAGTTTCTAGCCCATATGGCTGTGGAAACAGGCCTTTTTGCCTGGGGAATTCTCAGGATTCGTACAACATCTAGAGCGCAGGTGAGGATCAAACTGCTTTCAGCCTGGGGCTGAGTTCCACATCAGAGAAACTCGGGGGGGGGGGGGGGGCTTGCCAGCCTGCTTTTGCTTAAAGCTCTTCCTGCCATGTGAGTCCCGTGTAGCCTCTTGGGGAACTGCAAAGGGCTGGCGTTGGCCGTAGGCCTGATTTCTGCACCCCCCCACCTGGAATGCCCGTTTGTTTCACCCATTTATAGCTCACCCTCCAGTACAAAGTTCAAGGAGGTTCCGCACAGCAGACCAGCAGGCACACGCAAATTAAAACTGCAAGTCGCAGAAGCAACTGGCCCTCACTCCTCTCGGGTCCCGTGGCTTCAGCTTTCTCAGCACCTGTGGAATGTTGTTACAGGTGGCAAGCACGTGGCCTGCCCCACAGGTGTGGCCGGGCATCATCCTTAGGGGCACCTGCCCGTTCCTGGCAAAGTTATTATGCATATATGCAAAGCAGGCATTAACTAGATGCAGAAAAAGTGCGTGTCCATTTCGAAAGACCCGCCTTCTTCCTGGAGTTTCATTTGCAAGAACGGCGACATCCGCTGGGGGGTGGGAAGCATCTGAGTATCGCAGAATCACACAACAAGCAGAATCCGTGCATCGTTTCTCTCTCTCTTTGCTCTCTTTTATCAACAGCGGCCAGAAGTTCCTCACACCTGTCGTGAAGGTGCTGGGACCCCTCACTAGGAATTACTACGTTCGGGCCGTCCTATACGCAGGGTAATTGCTGGAAAGCGTTGGCGAGAAAGACAACATTCCCTGCTTTCGCGCCTCTGCTTGCCTCGTGCGTTTTGTGCTAGTGTGCGTGTGCCGGTGTGTGGCCGGCGGCAAGAAACCTGTGCTGAATAAGAGGGCCAGAGTTCTGCATGGCACACGTGTGTGTGTTGGCCCGTGTCCTCTGGGAGTGAGCAGTTTGTAAGTATTTGTTCGGCAGCCACGAGTTCCTGCCCAGATCCGGACCAGTCAGCTGCAGACCCTTGCAGAAGCCATTTCGCAAGGACACCTCCTCACTGAGCTCCGGTGCCTTTAGAAGTCTGGTTCTCAGGGCAGGACGATTTCTTCAGCTGCCCACCCAGATTAGATGCTGATCTCTCGGGCAGAGAGATGCGTGGTTTTAACTTCCGGCTCATATTAATCCAGGCGTGGGCAGGGATCATGCGGCTTTTGTGGGGGTCGGCACATCTGGAATTCCAGGAGAGGGCTGTGTGTGGGTTCACAGAAGGGCTGCTGGGGTTGGAACATCCTCATCTTTCAGAAGGGAAGCTGGAAATGGCCCTTGCTCGAGCCCGTCGGCCTAGGACAGCTCCGAAACCTGGAGCAAAGCGCACCCTAAATAAGACGGTGCCAGAGAGCAAGTTTTGCTGTGAGGTACTGCAGATTCTCAGCTGAATGAAAATCAATTTGATTTTTAAAACCTCTCTAAAGATGAAATAGAGGTCAGAAGGGGCAAAGGCCCCGGTGGGCATCGCACGGGGTACCCCAGTTCATTGTGCCTCGCAGTGCCCAGCTCTCCAGCCCAGTTGCAACATGCCTCCCGGGGTTAGTAGCTGGGGAACATGGGGGCAGAGCGCTGATGTACTTGTGGGCTTCCCACAAGCACCTTTGTGGCCACTGTGGCAAACAGGGTGCCGGGTTGGGTGGCCCTTCGGCCTCATCCAGCACTGCTCCTCTTACGGTGCGGCACTGGTCTTGCATCCGGCCTTCGGTGGGTTTGGAGCTCTCTGCCTCCTCTCTGGAGCTTCTGACATTTCTCTGTGGAAATGCCGCTGCCAGGACATCTGACCGTGCCCTTTCCACTTGCAGCCTGGCCGTCCCAACAGGATTCCTGCTGGCCACGATCCTCGGCACAGTTTGCCTGGCCATCGCGAGCGGCATCTACTTGCTGGTAAGTGGCCAACAGCGCCGCGCTCACCTTTGGCTCCCGAAATGAACCCGGAAATAACGCAGATTAATATTTTGGGATCTTGCTCGTTTACATATATTTTAGCGGCTCAATCGTCTACCTTTTAGCAAGGAAGGATTCGTTTTTTTAAAGTGCATTTTATCAGAACTGCACCATGTACGACTTCAGCCAAAGAGAGAACGTGATAAACAGGGTGAGCGTGTTGTAAGCAGCACAAAACTTTCTTAGCATTTCTGCTTCATTCTCTGCTGTGAAAATAGAATTAATGTAATGTTAAATAATAATCAGACTCATAGTAATATCAAGGGGAGCGACAAGGGGGAGCTGTGTGTCCTTTGCTTTCAGCTTGCTGGTTAGAATTGGCAACCATCAATTCACCTGCTAAAGCAGAGTTAATTAATGCCACAAGGAATCAACTCTGTGAGACTTACTTCTGAGTAGGCAAACACAGGATGGCAAGTCAGCCTTCTCTAACCAGGTGCCCTCCAGATGGTGGGCTTCAGATTCCATCATCCCCAGCTAGCCTGGCACTGACTTGTGTGCCCCCCCCTCCCTGCCCCATGATCCTGGCTCTCATCCACAAGGAGAGCTTTCCCCTTTCTGCCCTGAGAAGCCCTCGGCCGGCTCTCAGACGCCACGGTTCAGCTGGCTGGCTGTTTCATCTCATCCTGGTCCGTTTGGCTTTCCCTAACACATCACAAAGGAGTTCCCAAATAGAATAACAGACGGGAACAACACGCGGTGAAGAAAGGGACTATTAAAACCTTACGGCGCAGCAAGAAGAAAAACTTGCCAAAGAGTGTTCGGCAGGCTGAAAACTCGGGGGTCTAACCGAAAGGATGCAAAGGAGCTGGGGGCCCTGGAAGGCCCCCTTCACATGCGAGCCCGCTTTTAGCAAAGACGCAGCTCGCCCCGGCCCCCTGCTCCCTCTGCAGGGCCAAGCCGAGTCGCCGCAACACGAAGCCAGGAAAGCGAAGGCAGGAAAGTCGGGGCAGCTGAGCGCGTGTCCGGCCAGTGGCACCCTGCACGTCTCCCTCCCTGGAGGACCGGTGCGCTCACTCTCCGCAGCGGGTGACTTGCCCGCGGCTCGAGCAAGGGGCCCATCTAGCTTTGGGGGCTGGTGGCGCACCCCCGGGTGCAGCCAGGAGGCGGCGCCGTCGCTCTGTGTTGGGGTTCGCTATTCTGGGGGGACAGCCAGGCCGGGGGCGCGACACGGGGGCGATCAAAAGCAGGGCTGCCCTGAGAGCAGAAAGCCACCCCCAGGAGTTCGGGCGGTGTGGCAAATCATGCTCCGTTCGGCTCCTGTTGAGCCAAGACCTGCTGTGGGCTGCGGGGCCTCGTGTTGGCTGAACCCAGCGGCTGAGTCAGAGCCGTGGTCCGGTGGGTGGGACAGCTGTCCAGAGCTTCAGGTATCGTGTGCAGGTGAGGGCCATCGGCTGCCAGCGCTGCGCTGAGCCCTGAGCGGTGGTCTTTCCCTGGAGGTACCGAGACCCCCTCTGTGTTCTTCAGGCCGCCACGCGTGGGGAAAAATGGTTTCCCATCGAATCCAAGCCGCGGGAGCGAACGCCGCAAGTCGGAGGCACCATCAAGAACCCGCCGACCAACCCGCCCCCTCGGCCCCCCGCAGAGGCACGCAAGCAGCAAGGCAGCAAGGAGGCCGTCGGCCAGGAGAACCCCATCGAGGTCATCACGGAGGAGCAGTGACTGGCTGGGCTGCCCCGCAGAGCGCTCGGCCACGGCTGTTCTGCTGCGCCCGATGGGCAGCGCTGCCATTCTGCGGTGGAGCGGCAGATCTCCCCCTGCTCTGCAAGCCCTGGAGCCTTCCTCCTCGGATGCTTTCCCATCGCCTGATCCCCTCCGCCCACATCCCCAGCTTCCCCCGGACGCTCCCCCCCAGGCCCGGCGGTCCCCATGGGTCGTTCGCCTGACGACCAGTCCTGGAGGCTGCCTCCGACTTCCAGCTGGGCTCCCCTTTTCTAGCCTCTTCTTCTGAATGGGAGCCATTCCGTGTCCTCTGGGATTTCTCATCTTTTTACGTGGTAATAAAATGCCCCGTTGGGGAGCCTTTTCTTCTGCGTCTCCCTGTGTGGCCTTGAACTGCCTCTCCTCTCCCGGGTTCCGGATTGGGAGATGGGGGAAGATCTTTTCTACATGTGCACAGGATGGTCTGAGGATTTGGCCATGCTCATTCTGAATATTCTAGGAGAGAAGGCGTTGGTCTGATTGCTGGGAGATGGGCGACATCGACCAAGTGCGTTGGGAGAGCATTTTAGCCACAAAGTTTTCTGGGGCAGCTTACAAAAAGGTGCTTCGGTTCTGCCTCCACTTCCCGGGCTGAAGTCAGACAAGCACAACCTGTGAGGAGACGGAAGAGGACCTTGCGAAGCATCTTGGACCCCAGAGCGATGGGGCCGTAGAGGAGCCACGATTCCTGGCAAGAATCCCAAGCCTTTAGGTAGTCGTGTGGACCCTTCTGCAGCTGAACCATCACAGCGAAGCGATCCACTAAAACCTGTTACCAGCAGGAAGGGAGCTTCGCCCCGTTCAGCAGGTCCCCAGGCTCAGAGCCGGGCCAACTGGGGTGCTGGGTCCCCAAGAGTGAGGTCCGCCCAGCTGTGCTCGCCCAGCACGGCGCCAGGAGGCCTCCTCCGGAGGAAGTGGCGGTGGGGTCACCCATATCAGGCCCAGGGGTGAATGGAAATGCCCCGGGCTTGCTGATCCTCTTCCTCGTGGCAGCTGGTGTGCCCCCCGGCCGAGACGGGGTGTTGGGGTGGGGAAAGCAGCAGGAGCTGTACCGCCAGAGGGAGAGGCAGGCCCACGGAGGGAGGGCCCACGGATGGCCGTGCCCGGGAGCTCTCCAGCCCCCCCAGGCCGGCCTCGGGGAGCCGCCCTGGAGTCAGGGGCCCTAGAGAGCCGCCATGGGCTCTTGCCGGGTGACTGCCGTGCCCACGGATGCCGTGAGCTTCCCGTTGCAAGTTTAAGGCTGCTGGTGCGTGGGCTCCACCCACTTTGCCCTTAGCCCCACCCACCCACGGAGCGTGGCCCCCCAGCCAGGCGGTTCGGCACCGTGGCGTTGGCCGTGGTGCCGCCGTGCTCGCCGAAAGGCTGCTGGGACTGGCAGCCCTTGGACTCCGACACAGCGTTTCTGCTTTCCGCAACTGGGGGAGTGAAGCAGTCAGAGTCTCAGGTGCTTCCATAGAGATAAAAACTTTATTTATGAAATAAATCCAACTGGAGAAACGCTACCTCACCTAGGCATCGCTTCCTCCCATTGTACAGAGTTCTCGCTGCACAATAAATACATTGCATAAATAATTCAATAATTTAGGCAGCTATCCAACAGGCAAAGCACTCATAATTAGGCACATTCTATAAATACAGTGTCAATTTATGGTGAAAAGGAGATTCAGTGCTCCGGCTTTCTCGACGCTCGTAGCCTCTGGCCTGCGACTCCGAGGGTTTGCGGCCGACACGGTGGCCACGAAAGCTGGGAGTCGCAGTCCGAGGCCTGTGGAGGGTGGCACACGAGGGGATGCTGGGCTTACTGCGGGGAACGGGTTGAGCAGCCCAGCCGGCTTTTGCACAAGCGGGGCCGGGTGCTCTGTCCCGGTAGTGCAGCTGCAGAACGCCCTGTGTGCTTTGCGTGTGAGACACAAACAGTGGTGTGTAATAAATAACAATAGAGATACTGCAGCTACAAGATGGGGCTCCCTCGGGTGCAGAACGCTCCGTCCCAGCTGCCCCCCGGCACCATCCCTGCCCCAGGGCTGCTCAGCTCCCAGATGCTGAGGGACAGGGTTGCAGGGGGGCCTCAGGGAAGGCCACGGCCTGGAGTGCCTGCGCTCGCCCCTTGGAGCAACGACAGAACGACAACGGCAGCAATAACAACAACAGAACAATCAATATAATAAAATAAAATAACACTTAAACCGCTTACAATCTCACATATAAATTAATATAAATATCAATAAATAAATAGATCAAAACCAACAGTGGGGCAACAGGACCGGACCTTCCATCAATCGACTACCTGCAGCCGAGGCTCTGGGGGTGGGGGGAGTGCCAATTTTTAGTGTTCGGATAATTGGGGGGGGGGTCACCCAATTTGGGTCCTTCACAGGGTGGGCTTCCTTGCTTGCATGGCCTTTGAGGGAATCAATATGTGGAAATGCCGGGCGGGGAAGCGGCTGCTGAGCAACATGAATGAGAAGCAGGCATCGCATCCTGGGCCGTTCTCCAGGCACGGAACAGCCAGGCCCTCCTTCCTTGGAGAAGGCCCCTGCCTTGGGGGCTACACGGCCCTGATGCAGCTCTTTACTGACTCGGTTCCCCCCACAAGGAAGGGCCAATTTGCAGTGCCCGCAAGGACCCACCACATGGCAGCCCTGGCAAGGGGAAGCCCAGTGGCTGCACTGGTCCCAGTCTGCGGTGGTACCTAACTCTCCATTGCACCGTAGATTCAGAGCCTGCAGGGAAAGGGTCTCTCTCTCTCTCTCTCTCTCTCTCTCTCTCTCTCTCTCTCTCTCTCACACACACACACACACACACACACACACACACACACACACACGAGAGGAGGAATCCAAATTAAGCGGGAGAACTCATTCTCATGGCAGAAAGAGCTGCAAATTTTGCCCTTCGCAGGAGCCCGGTGAGAACAGACCAGTGTCGGGCCAAGTCCATCGGTCCGTTCACACCGTTTCTGACCAGCTCCGTGGGAAGCAGGCAGAAACTATCCTGCTGCTGAGTGTTCATGAGGTTGAGGTTAGCTTTGAAGAGCAGCGCGGGAAGAAGTGCAGATTAAATGCACGTGCCTTTACCGTTGGGGAAGGAGCCACGTCTGCAGAGAGGCGCCTCCTGTCCCCCGTTTTCGCTTTGGCTAAGGCACCGAAAGGACCGCTTCGGCTGCGTTTGTGTGGAATGCTGCAGTTGCGCTCACTAGAAAAGGCCTCAAGGAGGAACGAGCAAGTGCTTTAAAACAAACACCAGGCCACGGGGCGGCTCACAGCGACAGACCCGGGGAGGACGCAGGAGCTGGGCGTGTGCGCAGCGTCGCCTGCTCAGCTGCTGGACCGGGGCAGGACGCAGGCGCAGGCCACTGGCACGTCCAGGTACTGCACCTCGAAAGTGAAGCCGGCGGCCTCTCCGTTGTGCTGGCACGGCTTACGCTGCAGCACCATCATGCTCTGGATGATGGGCACGGAGTTGAGCGAGGTGGTCTCTCGGCCGGTTTTGACGTCAACGCACCCTTCGCAAAGGCACTCGGCGAAGGCCAGCTTGCGTGGGTACCGGTTCTCGTCCTCGTCGATGCTGTCAGGAAAGGCAGGAGAGGTGGGATTAGAGGGACGTGGGAAACGCCTCCTTGGAGTCATTTGTATTTATTGACAACTTTTCTAGATCGTCCCATTGCCGAAGTCTCGGGACGGTTTAACGACCCAAAATGTAAAACAATGAAACACAGCATCCTAAAAATTCACCTAACAATAAAACCCCAATTAAAACAGTCAGGCCTTAAAACACTGGGAAAATAAAAAGGTTTTGGCCTGGCGCCAAAAAGAATAGAGTGATGGAGCCGGGCAAACCTCTCTGGGGAGCAAATTCTACAATTGGGGTGCCACCGCGGAGAAGGCCCCTCTCCGGGTAGTCGCCCTCCTAATCTCCTACAGGGAGGGCACCCGGAGAAGGGCCTCTGCCCAGACCTTAAGGGGCGGGCAGGCACATGTGGAAGGAGACGCTCCTTCAGGTCACAGGCCCCAAGGTGTTTCATGGGTCCCCACCAGCACCTTACATTGGGCCCAGACTTCAACTGGAAGCAGTGTAGGTGGAGAAGGACCGGTGTTATATATTCATACCTGCCAGTCCCTGTTAAGAACCTGGCGGATTTGCCCCCGGTTTAACCATTGGGCTGCCTTTCCTTCCCCACGTTCCCGGAAGGTTCATCCATGTGTTGCTGCCCAAATTCCTTTGGCTGCACAAGCCAAGGAGAGCCACTAGTTGGCGCTCCAGTGCCGGGAAGGGTTGGACCCTCCAGATCAGTAGATCTTGCTCTCCTTGCATCCCCAGCTCGTTAAGGGCGAGCCCCGATCGAGGCCAGGGGGCCCTGCCGTGTCTTGGGCAGCCAGTTCCACAACCACGTGCTGCGGGTTTGGCCGGCGTCCCAACGCAACGGAAGAGCCCCATTCCCAAGAGGGTGGTGAGCAACTCTGAGTAATGCACTGAAGAGCTCAGGAAACTCCAGAAGAGGCTCCAACCCCAGGACAGCTTCCCCTGACCCCCTGCTGCCTCGAGGTGCTGGGATGCAACTCCCATCATCCCCAGGCAGCAAGACCATTAGTGGCAGTAGCGACACCACCACACTTCTGGAGGGTACCACCTCTGGAGAGAGGTTTATCTGTTTGTTAGATCCCGAGCCCTCCGTGGCTGAGCGGGGACTGGGAGCCAGGTCTCCTGAGGCCCGGTCCTGTGCTTTTAGCCCCCGGGTCTCTTGCGGGGATGACGTTAGCCAGGGTCTCGCCCGGCTGCTGTGGGCAGGACATGCCGCTCCCCAGGCTGGGGCTCGTGCCCGTACCGGTATCTCCAGGGCGAGATGGAGCGCTCATTGACCTCCTTGTTCAGGATGTCCTGCAGCTTCAGGTCGGGGCAGCCCTGGCTGGGCTGCCGCCGCTGCCTCCGCGGCGAGGCCTGCTCACTCTCCAGGTGCGGCACCAGCTGCAGGGAGCTGTGCCGGTCCCACCGGGCCGTCCGGCTCCGCAGCAGCCTGGGCAGCTCCCCGTCCTTCAGGTCCTCGGGGCTGAAGCAGTGGCGGCGGCTGTGGTGGTGGTGGTGGCTGCCCGCCCGATTTGCTTCTGTGAGGGTGACCAAGGCGAGGGTGACCAGAAGGAACCACTGGAGCGACAGAGGGAGAGAAACGCACCCGAGGTTAAAAGAGGCGGTACAGAATGCGGATTTGGAGCACTGACGCTTGTTAGCAAAACATGGAGTTGCCAGAGCACCGGCACACCTGACAGTTAGAGGGAATGGAAGGGACAATCAGTCCACAGGTGAGCTGAGGGAGCCCTTTAAATCTTTTAAAAGTTGAGGAAAAGCCTGGGCCTGTTTAGGTCGAAGAAAGAAAGACTACAACTTCCAGCGGGGAATTGTGTCCTAAGTCCCAGTGTCTGGGGGTACGTAAGCACCACTGGGCATCATGGGACTGAATTCCAGGTCAAGCCACATGGGTTAGCATGGCACCCCTTCCTTGCCTACCTACTGACCCTCTTTCCCCACGTTTCAGACTTTTTTCTCCTCTGCAGGACCATAACAAAGAAAGTCCTGTCGGAAGCGGACTTGTCTCTGCTTAAGCATGAGATTATTCCGCTTAATTCTGAACGATTTGCAGACATTCTGCTGTATCGCCAGGGAAAGAATCCCCCTGAGAGACAAATGCAAACGTAACTACCCTCCGATTTTAAGCACAGCAGTGCACCCATCTTGACTGGAAGGGGCCCCGTGTGCCGCCGGCCACGTCCCTGGCAGAGCAGCCCTTCTTTCTCGTTCGGGGCCAGGCAGCAGCTCCTTCCCGCCTAGTCAAATCCCATTCCTGCATCTACTCAATTCGTCCCCATCCTCATATGCCGAGTGTGACAGACAGAAATACAACGCTCCGGATCAGACCGAAGCCCAGTGCTCTGCGCCCCCGGTGGCAAGCCACCCGCTGCAGGAGTCCGCAGGCAGGATGGGTGCAGGCCCTCGCCCTGCTGCCCGTGTCTCGGCTGGCATCCCGAGCGAGCATCCTCCTCCGGGTGGGACTCCCCCAAGCGGCCACCTCCAGTCTCGGCGTGAGCAGCCCCTGGGGCCAGCGCAGAGGCATCCCCGAGGGACTGCAGCCTGCTCAGGCTGCCGTGCGCTTCCCCCAGGCACCTGGAGGGGGCAGAGGTGGCATCCTTACCATCCTGGCTGATCTGGCGGGGACGAAGGAAGGCGGCGGGCAGGCAGGTGAAGATGCTGGCTGGCTGGCTGGCCCTTGGCTGGTCCTGGCCCGGCTGTCTGTCGGTGCAGCTACCTTTGGGGAGGGTGTGCTGCTACCTGTGGTAAGGACAGGTGTTCTGAAACTGCCTTTACACCTTCCTCCATTATATAGTCTGGGAGAGTTACACACCTGGAAAGTCCAACTCTTATCCCCTCCCCCCCTTTAGGGAAATACTAGTGTTAACTCACTTCCTCTTACAGCAGGGGTAGCTCTTTAAATAACCTGCTTCTTTTAATTCTGCAATCCTCTTGCATTCACAGAATAGTTCTGTTAGCTGATTACTAACACCAGCTACCTGCACACGCAGGGCGGCGGCTGGAATGCGCAGCAGCAGCATCTCGGAGGGCTTTCTGCGCGTGGGGCGGGGTGGAGGGCTAGGGGCTAGGGAGCGACCGCCCGCCGCTTCAGATAGTCTGTGCTAGCATATGCAGGGAAGGGGCTCAAGCCCCTGACAAGCCACCACTGCTGCGGATGGAGCAGCGCTGTGTTACCTGTGGGCTTTCCCTTCCTAGCTTCCCTCCCGCAGAGTTGATGGAAAAATGTGGGACCCACATCAATCAAAGCAGCGCTTCAACAGGGGATCAAAGCCAAACGTTGCTGCTTTAGCTCCTTAACGAGAGTGATTTGAATACACAGAAACACCGAAACAGAGCGAGTCAGAAGGGGACCCCCCGGGCCATCTAGTCTGACCCCCGGCTCCAGCTAGACTCAAGCTTTTGATTTGATTGTGGATTACACAGCAGAAAAAATTCTCTCTATTATGGGACACTTGCCCAGAACTTAGTGATGCCAGCTACTGAGTTCCACAGAATTCTTCATCACGTGGAATGGGAATGCAGACAACTCTCGTGGACACCGAAGGAATTTGGTCTAGATCTATCAATGTTGCAGCCTATCAGAGGAGTTGCTTTATGAAAAACTAACATGCGCATGTTTGCACCTTACATAAATTGCCGCCATCCGTTTGGCACACACTGTATCGCTTCTCCTTTGCTGGAGTCTCTATTAGTAAACATAAATAAAAATTTCAGCCTTTTTATCAGTTGATGTTGAAATTTTGTTGATCACTGCAAATGCAACTTTTCCTTTTGAGGGACTACAACATAAGTGAGTTTTCTGCCTCTTTATTTCCTCCTTCCTTTATTTCCTCCTCATTTCCTTCCTCCACGTCAGTCTACAGCCTGCGGCAAAACCCCTGTATTGACTCAGCCCTCACCCAAACATTAATCCGTATTCCACTCCAGGAATGTCCAGGTTCTGGAAAGCTTCACCCATGATCAACATGTGAACTAATCATTCTAGTTCTCCAGATCGTTTTGGCAGCATCAAACTCACACGTGCAGAACTGTGTTTTAAAGGAGAAGTGCCATATAAATATAACTAATCACAAGTGAATGAAATATTGAGGGAATGGCGGACTTGAGTGTGAATCAGCCCCCAGAGATTTCCTGAATCTACATGGACAAGGATTTCCTGGTTATGGACAATCCAGGGAAAATTCCTTCTTTCTATCATGATGGTTGGCTAGGAAATTTTAGACCCCTGTGGTGTCTTGGGGAGTAGAGAGGAACTGCCTCTGGGGAAGAGCAAAACACACAGGTCTCGTCTTCTCGCTCCCGCCACCTTCGGCATATCCGCGCGGCCGACATATTCGTGCTGGGAGAAGTGGCACGCAGGCCGACTGGCCCAGAACGCACGCCATCTTGTGCTTTTAAAAGCACTGAACTGAAGGGACCCTCGTGCCTGTGCGAGAGGCAATGGGCTCGAGGCTGCAAAGACGATGCGCAAACGCACTTTCCTGGACAGACGCATCCCTGTGCTGCAGCTCGGGCTAAAAGGGGTTAAAGGAAAGGGAATTAAGTGGGGTAACGGGCAACGTGTGTGCGCTTGGCTGCTAGACTCAGCAGTCAAACAAGGTGAAAAATGAGAATGGATAAGAATCAGCAGCAATGGAGACGGATGCTGGCGCGCTTGCAGCTGGCCTCCAAATCGGCCCCTCTTTGGGTGGCCATTCCTGGGGTCCCTGGGCCGTGGGGTCATGGCCTTTGGCCCAGAAATTGCTCCCCACCCACCCTATTCATTGAGCACACAGGTGTTATCTTTAAGAAGGTTTCCCTTTGCTCCTTGAGGTTCACAATGAAAAGATTTGGAAATACCCTGTAGAAAAACTGGGCGCATCAACCCAGGAAGTGGATCAGCTTTCGCCTGTATGGCAGCTGCTGTTTCTCAGGTGATCCTACCCTGCAGGGTTACGGCGGAGGTGAAAAGGAGAGGAGGATCATGTGAGTTACCCCGTGCTTCTTGCAGGAGGGGAAAAGCAGGCGATGAATGCAATACCAGTCGTTTAATATACATAAACAAAGTTCCGTTTATTTAATGAATGAATGGGTTTTGCAATGCAGGTTTGTTCACGCGCTTGGTATTTGCCCGGCTTGGTGTTTGCGCACTGAGCTCATTCATTCACTTTTTTTCACTCTGCTGTTGACTTGTGGCGCGCGAGGGCAAGCAGCACGTGGGAAGTGGCATGGCTGGGTGCCGAGATCAGCCGTTGGCCCTCTTCGCCGAGAGGACGGGGGTCGAAGCGCAGCGTGTCGGAAAGGCGCTGGGCCAGGAAAAGCAGGACTGGCTACCAGCTCCTCTCTCGGCCATGCGGCTCCGTTAAGGACTGCGGACCGGCCGCTGGTCGCCCACCCCACCTGGCAGGGGTGTTGCGTGACCCAACTCAGGTGGGGGAGCCATGGACATGGTGAAGGAGAGGGAACCTAACCCAGTCCTTACTCTGGTCGGAGGCTTCCAGCTGGTCTGGGGGCTGCTTAAAGGCGGGGGGCTTTTGTGCAGAAGCAGCCAGCTTCCAGCAGGCCCACCTCTTAAGCGGTCGCAGAGATTCCCCAGAGAAAAACAGGCCACCCCAAAGGAAAAGGAGACAGACGCCACGCACAGAACTCGCAAGGGAAACCCACTGAGTTCAACGGTGCAGTTTGCTTTTGCACAGGTATCCTTAACATGAGCCACGTTCAAGGTAATCCATGCAGGTTTTGCGGCCAACTTGTCCCATGGAAGTGTTTGGTCTGCTCTGGTGTAAAAGCCTTGAAAGGAATTGCCTGGACGGTCTTCCGGGCAAAGGAGAAGGTCCGCGTGGAGAAGACACAGCTGGTTGCATGTTCAGGGTGACGAGTCAAAGGGTTTGCTTGGGGGCTGGAAGGTGAAGGTGCTGCTGCCCAGACAGGCAATTTTGCTTTTTTAAAAGTTGGCCAAAGGGAGAGCATTTGGGGAGGTGGAAGTTTTCCTGCCAGTAGACTGGTTCATTCCCCGTGATCAGTGTTTATTCATGGTGCTGAACCCTTCATCTGTGTTTCAAGCTGAAACTCCTCCCTGTTTTGGGGAACTGGAAAGCACAGCTGCAAATAGAGCTGGCGTGTGTGAGAGCGACCGAGCCGAGCGAAGTCTGTAATGGCAATGCAGTCTGACTCATCTGGCACTGCGGATACTGTTCATTTAAGTAGGACGTCCCTGGTTCCATTTTACAGATGGGGAAAACTGAGGCACACAGCAGCTGAGGCATTCTGGCCGAACTTTTCCACTCCTGCCTCCTTGTTTTTTTCCGTTTGGGACAAGATGTTCCAGGAAGTAAGCAGGGCAGCTAGAAAGCAGCTCCGGAGGCCTTAGCGCTTGCCTTCAGGCTTCTCTGCCACAAGGGCAGGGCGCCTTTGTTCTTCAGGAGCCGAAAAGAAAAGCAAACCGCTCAGTGGACCAAGAGGGGCACGCAGGTGGGCGCCGAGAGCAGAGCCCCCGCTGCTCCACCGCAAGCATTCGGCGTGTGCTTCACCAGCTGAACACCGGCCCAGTTCATCCCTCCGGGGGGGGGGGGGGGCGAGCTCAGGTGAAACATCACAGCGGGCAGAGCAGGAGCTGCGCCCCCCCGGGTCACCTGGCCGGGGCATCATGTGCCCCACCTGCCCCATGCAGGTAACCCCCCCCCCCACATGGCCGGGGGGAAGGAGCTTGGCCGCCGGGCGCTGGGGCTCCGCAAGGGGAGGCGCGATCCCGGAGCAGCTTGAGCACAGGAGAGCGGGCAGCACGCACGGTCAATGTGCCGACCGAGCGGTCCTCCGGTCACTGAGCAGCCGATCAAGAAAGCTGTGCAGCACGAAGGCAGACGCTACACGGCATTTAAATGCCATGGGCAAACAGATCTTTTAAAAGCGGGGGTCCGTATAAGCCCCCTCCGGGTGGGTTTTTCCAAGCGAATTACGTTCCACTGTTGCCGGCAGCTGATATTAAAAATGCTCTAAATGAGTGGGGTCCTGGGTAGGATGTTTAGCAATACGAGAGATGAATATTACGCCCAGATTTCTGTTTAATTTTTAAAAAAATGTTCCTATATGAGACCCGGTGGCTATATTAGATTATTAAATTATTACTTTATCATTAATTATTTTATTAACTTTTAATAATAAAAAGTTAAGAATTTCTACTGCAAACTTGCAAAATGCCTGGAACTGCCCAAATATGGTTTGTACACCGTCAAGATTAAAAATAGAAGGCCAGTGGTAAGATGATGAAACGGGTTCACTTGGTCATAATTGGAACAAGCCGCTTGTAAAAACTGCTTTGTAATATTTACTTTGAACATCTCAGAAGCACTCAAAGGGAATTCATGATTTCCTTAAACCCCATTCCGCAATATCAGCTATTTTGCAAGTTTGGGAAAAATATAACAGATGTGCTTCCTTCTAAAATTGCTCTGCTGCGGTCCTCTCTCTAACATAGAATTCCAACTAGCTGGTAGTATCGCAGAATAGTCCAGGCATAAAAACATGGCATTTGCAGCTGTGATTAAAGGGGGCAATTTAATACCTTTGTCTAACCCAGCAGGTCACATGGCAACAAAATCTTTGCGGTCTCAGTACAGTTGTCAACACACTTAAGGCTTCCTGGTGAAGCCAGACCTGGCTAGAAAGGGGTTCAGCCTGGATTTCAGTGTTGTGATTAGGGCTATGGTCCCATAGATTCCCTGCACTTCCATGTACCTGGAATGACCCCCAAAGCCAGGGCGTCACCAGGAGGCCATAAAAGTGGCCTTTTGTATTTTTCTGCTGATCAAGCAGCTTTTAGTGTGCTTCAGAGGCTTCAACTTCTACATAGGTGTAGCAAAAAGACAGTAAGCTCTTATACAAACAACCCAAATTATTCCTGCTGGTTAAGGGTTAGGGTTAAAACTGGATCAAAACTAGAAGAGATTACCTGGAGATCTCTCCAGAGAATGGGCTCCGAAATGGGAAATGTAAATTAATCTAAACAGGTGCATCTAAAGCATTGTAAACAAAGCAATTGAAATGCCTGTGAAAAGGTACAAGCCAGGTTCGCTTGGAAGTAGACTGTGTTTTTTACTTCCAAGCGAAATGATTTAAACATTTTCTTTTTATAGCTTGGACACGAGCATCATCAGATGTGCGAGGAGTCAGAAGTGGTGGCATATTATCCCACCGTCTTCTTTATTACACCTTTATATACCCTCCACATTTTTTTCTTCATTCTGCGGGAGTGGGGAGCACTGAAAGAGCGAAAATAATACCAGCACCATCTGAGGAATAAAGGCATCGAAGAAGGTTTTCTAAACTACGTGCAATGAAGGCCTTCTCCTGGAATTAAAGGTCTCTGCAGCGGGCAGGGATTCTCCTGCCAAGAGCCTTCCCGATCTCCAGAGCAGAGGCGTCCACAGCAATAGACTCGGCTTGGGCCCTGTGTCTGCGCAGGTGTACAAGAATTTCAGCCTTTTCTCGCCTGTGCGGAGCAACCTTGGCTGGATAAAACGGCCCTACCTGGAGCGCCCCCTTCTCCGACCCCACCTGTGCCCATTAGCCCACAGCCTGCCGCCCAGACTTTTGCTGCTAAAGCTGACGGTGAGCCTAGCTGTCCGGGGTGGAACCCACGTTTTTCGAAAAAAGGTGCTTCGGGACCTGAGCAATTAGAGGGAGATGAGCTGATACGCAGACTTCCTCTTTGGGAGGAGAGGCACGCTGGGCTTGCAAGAGCACAAAAAGAAAAAGCTGGGCTTTTGGAGATGTCGGTCGCGTGCTGCCATCACCGGGTCAAGCAGCCGCTCAGCGCTGACCTAAGCAGACTGGCGGTGACGGCAGCAGCCCCCCTCCCGCACCAGGCTGACGTTTCGACACAGAGGTTGCTGCCCAGACAAGCGGGCCTGGGACTGCCCTTCCCAAATTAAGCAAGAGTGGAAAGGTCCCCGGTGAGTCCTTTTCCCATCGTTTCAGGTTTTTCCAAAACCAAGATCACGGCATCCTCTGGCCAGCTGCCCTGTTGTCCTTTCCATCCCACCAGCCCTCCTGTACACCTGCCAGAGGGGCAGATTTGCTCCGAGCTCCATCTCTTTGTTGTGTGGGTTGAACTTCTGCTCAAGTAGCCATCCCTGAAAAGCAGGCAGCAGCATGGGCTTCCTAAGTGGTGGCCACGGAAATTTCCCTTGGGACCCGCCAGTTTTTAGCCCCTCCTGGTTTTTAGCTATATTTGCTTTTATTCAATTGCACCACAGTGTTTGGATGAGTGGGGGGGGGGGGCTGCTGCAAGGGGAACAGCAGGTTTCCTGGAGCTCTCTGGTGGATCCAGGAAATAGCCATGTGAAAGGCTTGGGATGGGGGCCAATCCCCACTTTGGCCGTGTAGTTATCTTCCTGGGCAAGGAGACAGAGCCCCGAGGTTAGACGAGCTGAGCGGGGCTCTCCAGGTCGCATTTTGGAAGGCCTTCCCTCATGGGATTATCCTAAATCGGAGCTGACCTGAGGAGACGTCACAGCAAAGGGTGTGAAGAAACTGCTGCAGGTACCAAGCCATTTTTTTTAAGCAGGCGGTTTTGCATCAGTAGAGTCCCTGCAGCCGCTCAATTTAAATGGCCATTGTGTGCATGCGTGGCGAGACAAAGAAAATCCAAGTTGGGGCTTGGAAAAGCCACCACCGTCATCCTGCTTTCCAAGAGCAGAAGCAGACACGCCTCCCGCAGAGCCTTTTGCACATTTCCAGTCACCAGACTGGTCAGCGATGCCTGGAGCAAGCCCGCTTCTTTCCTCACCTGCATGCAGGTCAGATCTTTGCCCTCAGCCCAGAAAAGGTGCACAAAGGTAGCGGGGCTGTTTCAGGGGAAAGGTTGCTGGATCACCTCTCTTCACACCAGGGAAAATCTCGGATCGCTCAGGCCAAGAGTTGCTCCTTGGTTTTGGAAACGTCACTGAAGTGGCCAGTAAAATCTCTTGCCAGGTTCAATGAAACCAAGGACTACAGTCCCAGAATGTCTAAATGTGCCAATTTCCTTGGAGTAGCCCTTCTTCATGGGTTAATTTTTTTACGTAGCCTGCAGAGATCTCTGGAAAAAGAATTCTCCTGAAAGTGCATAGTGAAATCTTGGAGATGATGTTTTCACTGAGATCTTTGTGGGTCCCATGGAAATATTTGACCGCTAATATTTGTCAAATATTTGACAAGGCCCATAAGGATGAGCTACAAGGCCAAAGAATGGTATTTTTTACGTCTTGGGATTTTGTCTTTCCTGTTCACAGTGCGTTTGCGGATGTTCTCCGGTTGCCTGACTTGTTAAAATAAGTCTTGCTCGAGGAAATGCTCTAGCCGTAACCAAGCAAATCTGGTCCAGAGGAGAGGCGAGCATTACTGGACCAGGCTGTCCATCCATCCATGACCTTGGGGCCAACAATTTGCCTCGCAAGGAGGGCCGTTCACTGCCCTACAACTGGTACCGATTCATTGGCGGAGTGCCTCTGAAACAAGGTTTTGTACAGACGTCATGGGTTGGCCTCTCCTGCGTCTCTCGCCCCCTCTAAATGCCACCCAAAGTTGCCGTCTTGCCGAAGGGAGCGGACCGGCTATGCTCCCTGTGATCAACCACCGAGTTGGTCTCAGGGCAAACCTCGGTAGCTCTAACTATCATTATTTATTTGTTTTTCGGCACCTTTTTATTCCAGCGATATTTTAATAAGTTTTAATATTGTCTTTTCTATGTTTTTAACTGCAGCCCGTGTGGGCCGGGAATTTTATTTATGTTATCTTTTATATTGTAAGCCGTCCTGAGGCTTTTTTGCAAATAGGATGGCATGTAAATATTTTAAATAAATAAATAAAAATACTTTTGCAAGCCTCGTCTTCCAGTTTGATAGCAACAGAAGACGTTGGTGGAGGGTCTCTGCCACCGCACGGTGGCCCTCGTTTTGAGACCAGCCTTGCGCAGCCGGTGACCTCCAGAAGTGCTGGACACAAACGCTGTCACCCCTGGCCAACCATTCTGAGACAGGACAGGGCAGAGCAAAGAGAAAGAGCTGTTTATCAAAATACTTTATTTTCGGCATAACCCCTCAAAAAAAACGATCCTCCTTATTGGACACACATCCTGACAAAACCTTTGCCTTTTTCTGTTAAGTCAACTGAAGCAATCGTTTGCTTAAAATAAAAAGACACACAGGACCTCCTGATCAGACTTCCATCAAGGATAGCTACGCAACTGGTTTAGTTCTTGGCGGGGGGGGAGGGGGAGGGGGGCAGAGGAGAGACGACAGAGGGGGCTTGTCTGGCAAGTGGCAGCGGGTCTTGGCTCTCTCTGTACACAGTATGCAGAACTGCGCTGCTGAAGACACTCAACACACAGCAGGGCTAACTAGGGAGAAAAGCTGGTCAGAGCGAGGAGGAGGCGCTGGACAGGGGCTGCGCTGAGGAGTCCGCTGTGCGCAATGGACGTGGAAAAACGTCGCGGCGACGGCCTCTGCCACGGTGCCGGCAACACGTGGAGTGGAAAGGAAACCAGAGGGAGCCGTCCCAGACCTGGGTAGGTAGGTTTTTAGCTGACAAAATTTCTCTTCTCTTTCCAATTAATTTTTTTTTAAAAAGGATCACAGCCAAAATAAAACAAGAACTGCAAAATCCCGATGGCTGCTTGTACACTATTTATAAAAACACAGGAACAGTCTCTAATCCAGGCTGGGCCCGGGAAGCTATACTTTCCCGGGGATCTTGGCCCGTTTGCGGGCGATGGCGTCTTCGACGGCCTTCAGCTGCTTCAGCAGCTCCTCTCGTCGCGACAACGTGCTGGACTTGCCCGATTTTGTGGGAGTGGCCGTGGGGGCCGGCTCAGCCCCTTTGCCTGGGATGCTTGTGACTTTGCTGGAACTCTTGGACTGGGGTGACAACGGGCGCTTCCTGCAGCAAGGAAGGAAGCACATCCCGGTTAGAAGCGAGCGGGAGGGGAAGGCTGGGCGAGCCAGCCTGAGGCCGGCTGCGCTCAGCAACCCTGGCACTCGAGCAAGCCAACGGGGGCCTGTTCTTCCGATCTCTGCTTTCCGTCCCTGCCATCTGCCTTCCCCCCGAGTGATTTCATTTCCGGGCTCAGCAGGCCCTCTCTGGGGCGGACAGCAGTGCATGTCAGCCACAGCTGGGGGCCAGACAGCCCAACAAGCCACTGCTTAAACCAGCCAGCCCTCACCAGCCGATGACAAACCATGGTTTGCGGCTAGTCTGAACTCTGCCAGCTTTTAAAAACCTGAGCAAGGTGGGAATGGAGGAAGAAACGGCACCCTGCCAGCGTAGAGGTGTCTATTCTGAAGCGGCCAGCCAGAGGTTAGAAGGATTTCCCAACCCCGAATGGAAAGCTGCTCTGCTCCTGTCTGGGAGGCTGACGCTGCACCCTGCAGTGCAGGCCTGCACTGAGGCGGGGTGGCCCCTTCCTCCCTGTGAGTCTTCCGCGCTCGGGCTGGCGGGCAAGTGCTGCAGAGGGACCCCTCGGCCCGAAAGAGGCTCTGCACCCCCTGGCTCCCGTGCTGCAGCCGGGCTGGGCTCTGCAGACTGGAATCCCCACTCCTGCCCCCAGCGGGCACCAGGCGGGGGGCAGAGTCAGCCCTCAAAAGCAAGTGGGGCCTACACGGCCCGCGGTGCCCCTCCGAAGGAGACCAGCGGCCCGTGGCACCCCCAGGCCGGCCGGCCAGCCCCCAGCCGAACTCACTTGTCCGCTTGAGCCGGGGAGGGCTTCGGGTTGGGCCCCCGCTGACGCTCCTGCTTGGGCGAGGAGAGCCGTGTGCCCGGTTTCCTCTCGCGAGGACCTGTGACAGAGGGAAAGGGAAAGCCAACGGAAGAAAACGTCAGGGGGCTGTGTGGCAGCCTGAGGCGAGCCGGGGGCCCCCGGGGCAGCACAATGCCCGAAGGCAGAACCGGCACGCCAGCCACCCCCCGGCTGCCGCCCTCAGCCGGGCTGGACTACAGCACCCATCATACCCTGGGGCACGGAGAGCCTGGAGGCTGGAACGGGCTAAAGACCACGAACTGAGACTGCCCTCCCAGCACTCAGGCTGCCGGGGAGGTTTCCCAAGGGGGCCACGAGGCGCCCTGGCCTCAAAAGCAGGCCACACCGAGGGGGGGAAGGGGCCACTGAAGCGGATGCGACGAGCTGCCATTCCAGCAGCAGCTGCCTTTAACGGCGTGTCAAAGGGCTGGAGCACTCCACCGAGCTACTCAGCCGCCCGCACCACCACCCTGCGAGGTAGGCCAGCGTCGCAACCGCCACGCTGCAGGGGAAAGGCTGGAACTGAGGGCGCGCGCGAGCGAGAGAGCCAGCGGCCCGCCCACAAGCCAGCGCAGGAGTTCACAGCAGGGGCGAGACTCGCTCCCGGGATTTTCCACGCCGCCGCTCTCGCTCCATGACACCAACTCTGACTTGCACAACACATGCCCCGGTGGCGAGATCAGCGCGAGGAATGTGGCACAGTTATCGCAGCGCCAAAGAAAGTCAGCGGCTGCTCAGCAACGCCCAAGCATGTCTCAGAGGCACACGCCGCAGAGGGCGTCTCTGGTTGCGAAGGCAACAGCGAGCGCTGAAAGCATCTAGGTTAGCGCTGGCCGTCCAGGAACGGCCTCGTCAGCTTCGGTGAGTGAAGCAGCCGGTGGGCATTGGGCAGGCCGCGCAAGCCTGCGACAGAGGCAGGGAAAAGCCTCGGCTGTCAGCACCGGGCTCGGGCACGCGGGCTGGGCCGGAACAAAGCTGGAACATGTCCGGCTGCACCGGGCAGCCAGGGAAGACGCTGCCGTCACGGCTACTGTGCTGTTATTTCTGCAGCAGGTTTGGGCCTTTACATTTTGAACGGTCTGTCAACCACCTTGGCTGGTCTCAGATGGGTGGCACAGAAATACAATAAAGAAATGCAGTGCTGCATGAAGAATTCAGAGTCCCTAAGGAAACTGTGCATGGAAACAGCCACATCTGATACCCGCAGTAAAGACGGGATCGTACGATCCTGCCCAGTGGGGCCTCTTTGCAAAGGGATGCCTGCATTTTAAGATTTCAAGGCGGCAAATGGACTAGAAGGGTTTCATTTCCCATTATGAGGGCTCAGTACGCCGAATTCCACAGCACGCAGGGACATGCCTGGAAGCACCGCTGCTTGCTCTGCAGGAGAGCTGTTCTTGCCCCAAAGCTAATTCTGTAGAGAGGCACGTCAGCCCCACCGGGGGGCCCTGCGGCGTGGAGTGAGGGGGCAGGATGGGATGGGAGGGGAGTGGGCCGGGCTGGTGGCGGCAGCAGAGGCACGCTGCGCCAGCGATCCCTGCAGAGCCCCGCTTCCTCACCTCTGTCCGGAGACAGGTTGATCCGCTTCGCTGGCGGAGAGCCCTGCCGGTCTTTGTCCGAGGGCTCGTACCGCTTCCTGCTGCCTCCTTTGTCGGCTGCCTATAGGAGGGAGAGAGGCGGTCGAGACGGGCCCGGGGCAGGCCGGGGAAGCGTGCCCGGGTGGGGGGCACTTGGCTGCCCCCACGCAGCGACAGAAGTGCCCCCTCACACTGGCGTGCCTGGGCCCCCAGCTTGGCAGGGATTTGCTTTCCTGGCGGCATCTGGCCGCAGGCTCTGGCGCACATGAAGGGGAAGGTCAGGGGCCGCGGCCCTGGGAAGGCCCGAACGACTGCCGAGCAGGAAGGCCTGCTAGCACGCGACGGTCGGAGGAACGCCTGCCCTGGGCCACTGCTCAGCCCTCGGGCTGCGTTTGGCTGATCTCGCCGGCGTGCACCTGCCCTTTCCTTTCCCCGAGAGGAAGGGCATGCAGGCAGGGAGAACGCCAGGCTTCCCTCCTGAAGCTGGAGGGGAGGGAGGAGCTCAAAATGTTGCTGCCCGGAGCACCCCCCTTGCCAGTGCCACATCCCGTCCCCGACCTCCACGTGTGGCTCTCCCCCCGGGGAGCTGCTCCTCCCTGTGAACAGGAGAGCAGCTTCTCGGCATCCCATCCAGGTCTGCGACGACCACGGGAGAATCCTGAGCGGGGACGATGGAAGGCACACCTGTCGGTGCCCCAGGGGAGGCGCTGGCATGCCCTTGCCTTTGGGGCAGGAGTGCCCGCTTCTCCCACCCGGCAACCGGGCCCAGGCATCGCCGGCAGCCCGCCCTGCCACGGCGATCGTGGCTTTGCTTCAAACCGGGGAGCTGATGGCTAGAGCCCTGCGCACGGGTGGCTGCCCCCCACTGCCCATTCTCGGCTCCGGGACGACCCCTCTGCCCCAGGCTGCCTTCCCACATCAGCCTCCCGAGCCCGTTCCTGCCCCCCGCGACTGGCAGCCGCCCCCGAGGGACTCCGGAAGGGGCATGGGCCGCGCCTGGTTTGGAAAGCCTCGCCCGCCGGACTGCCCCGAGAGGGGCCTCGCTGGCCACAGGGACCCAGTGCTCCTTGGTGGTGGCCCCCCCGATGCGCTGGGGGCTGTGGAAGGGGAAGCCAAGCAGCTCCCCCGGCGCCCGGAAACACACCTTGTTCAGCAGCGTCAGCTTGATGTCCTTGTGGGCACCGAAGCCGGCCGGCTGCGGCTGGGGGGCCTGCTGCGCTGGGGCCGGCGGCTGGGACTTGCCCCCCTGGGTGGGCTTGGCGGGCTTGGCGGGCTGCGCGGCGGCCTCCCGTTGCCGCTTCTCCTCCTTGATGCCGCTGGCGCCCTCCTTCTTGGGCTTTCCTGCGGAGCAGAACACGCTGCCGTGAGCAGAAAAGGCAGCGGGGCCTTCCTGGTGGCTGCCCCGCCCCCGTCCCCACATCCCAGGGGCAGCCTGACACCTGCGCACTGTGCCCAGGAGAGTCACATCCAGCCAGGCACGCCCACCTGGAGGCGGCGAGCGAGAGGCTTCGGGGCAGGTTCGGGGAAGGCGTGGTCCTGCTGGGAGTTGTCGGCCACCGCCACCCCTCCTCAGCACCCGCTACACTGGCCGGGGCTGATGGGCACTGCAGTCCAGCAAGGCCTGGCAGGTGACATCTCCCACCCAAGCGGCCGTCAACCCGCCAACACAGCTTCCTCTGCTTTTCTCAGACCAATTCAGCCAGGCTTCCCACGCCCAGCGCGCCGATTCACTTTGCAACTGAACAGGCATCCGAGCCATGCGGGCTATTCTGTATTCTCATGCTTGCTTTACGGGTTTTCAGGTTTAAGCCGCTTCAAAGAGGCATGATTCTGACTGATAAAAGAAGAGCACTGCATTCAAACGAAGCGAGATGTACGGATGGCCAGCCGAGTGTGTGCAGAGCAAGGGGACTTCTCTGCAGGTCACAAGCGCCTCCCTTTCCGTGGGCCACGCCAGTGTCCTTGCAGTGTGTTTTTCCAGGCAAAAGGAGCACGCATTCGCCCTCCCGAAGACTTAAAAGCGGCTACCGAAGTCTGTGCGTGGCCAGACGCCTCCTATTTGTGCTGCACAAGCACAAACGGGAGGGAAGAGGAGGGCTCTGGGACCCGCGGCCGAGCAATTCACAGCCTGCGTCCACCCCAAAGGGAGCCAATTAGCCACCTGCAAGAAACGTGGCAAAGCTGTTTCTGAAGGGCTACTGAACCAGGCAGGGTCTTTTCTGCTGTGGCCCCCAAGCCGCAGAGCACCTTCCCCAGGCAGGCCCCTCCAGGTGGGCCTCCCTGGACAACCTCCTGGCACCAGGCGAGGACGGAGCAGTGCCCTTCTGCGAGGCCTGTCGCACGTACTTTTCACTGCTGTCTGCTTTCTCTTTATTCTGGGCCATGCTGCACTTCAAAATACTCTCTCTATACCTGCTCAATGATCACTGTTGCCTTTTTGTTGCCAAGTGAAAACAATGCTTTCATGCAGATCAGCACTGGTCTGAACCGCTGCTCTTGCTTGCGTTGTGCACATTGCCCCCGGAGCCTTGGCTACAGGGTGGCTCAATTATTGTGACGACGATCATTTCAAAAATCTTGCCTTCTAGTGCTCACCGCTTTGGAGCGTGCGGCGTGGGGCAGTATATGAACACTGCAGATCAATAAGCAGCGGGGCGGGGAGCAAAGGAGGGAGGAGAAGGGAGCGTGCAGCAGGCGGTGGGGGCGGCTGGGCGAAGGAGGGCAGAGCCGTGCGGAGCCACCCACCTCTCTCCTTCTTCTGCTGCTGCTGCGCTGGGGTGGGCGACCGAGAGCTGGCTGAGGACACGGGACTGGCCAGGTCGGCGTACATGTCTTCCGAGTCGGCGCTGTGCATGGAGCTGCTGCTCGAGGAGGCACTAGAGACGGATGAGACGCTACTTACACTCAGGGACCTGAAGGGGCGTGGGGGGGGGGAGAGAGAGAGGGGAGCACAGAGCAGAGTCAGTCCAAGCAGACCGGTCGAGAGAGCGCCCGGCGGGTGCCCGTGATCGCCCAGCCTTCCCCTGGCCTGCAGAGCCCGGAATGTGCCAAGGGCAGGATGAGGCCCCGCACGGACCACATGGAAATCCCGAGGTCTTTGTAAGATCCCCACTGCTTTGTTCCATATCAATCAATCAATCAATCAATCATCCTGGTGTACTCAAACTCTGCTGTTCTGCAGGCTGCCCTCTGCAGGCAAATTCTGCGTCGGGGTGAACGGTCCTCGCGCAGGCGCTTGCCTTTTGCCTTCCAACCCCGCGGCAACAGGAGGAAACGTCATACCTGGATTTTCGGGACCCAGATGGCGATGGGGACATGGAGGCCGAGGAGGACCGGGAGTGAGACCGGGAGAGGGATCGAGACAAGGATCTGGAGCGGGAGCTGGAGCCGCTGTAGCTGCTGCCGCTGCCGCTCGCGCTGCAACTGATGGTCCTCCTGCAGCAGAACCCGGATTCAGAACCGCCTCGCGAAGCGGCGCCACGTGTTCTTGCGGGGAAAGCGGCAGGCTCCCCGGAGGAGCACCGGTGGACGCCCGCCGACCGGTCCCAGGTGCTCACCTGGACGCTTCTCCAATTTCTGGGAACAACCTTCCACTAACAGGTCACCCCCCCAGTGAGCAAAGCGGGGCCCCGGAATGCTGCGCGCCAAAACAGTCGGCGGGACGGAGAACTCCGGTGCAGAGGGCTGGGAAAGGAGCTTCCTCACCCTGTTTCCCTGGGAGAGGCAGTGACTGGGGGAGACCCTCCCCGCCCCGCCCCGCCCCACCCCACCCACCTGCGGGGGGGCAGCCTGGCCGGGCGCTCCTTCCGCCTCGCCTCTCTGTTGTTGCCCGGCTTCGGTGGCTCTGGCGCAGCTGCTGCAGGTTTCGTGACCGGTGCCGGCGCTGGCGGGGCCGGTGGCTTCTTCACAGTCTTCTCGCTGTGGAAGGAAGAGCGGGGAGGTGACGCCACGTCGTGGGGCGGGGAAGAGCGCGCCTGGCCTCGGTGGGACACGGGCCCAACGCACCGTGGCCTCGCTTCGCGGCGCCTGGGCTTGCTGGGAAGGGCTGTGCCAGTGAGTCCGTCTGGCCCGCCTGCAGCCTGGCGGGAGGGAGCCTGCGTGGCACGTGCGGGCCAGACTTCGGGTCTGCCGGCCCAGCAGGACTCTGAGCAGAGTGGCTCCCCCGGCTCCAGGCATGGGGTGGGGGCAGTGGCGCCGTCTTGCTCTGCTCTGCTCTTCTTGCTGGGGCACGGGGCTTCCTGGGCCGATGTGAGGCGCCCCTCCTCGTTCTCAGCTCCCCCACCCCAGATTAACCTAGCACAGGGGGTAAGGCAGGAAGAGGTCCCCAAGCCACTTAGACACGAGCGGGGGATCCAGTGCTCCTTGCACAGGCGGATCCAACCGAACCAAAACAACCCCCTGCTCCTTCCTCCCCCCACGAGGGCTGCTTGTGTGTAGACGAGAAGACGGCAAGCCTGCAACAGCGCTGCTTCTTCCCCCACTACTGATCAGAGAGGTGCCCGAGAGGAACAGGCCAGAGGATCAAACGGTGCCGTGCCAGCCGGAAACTAGCGAGTTCAGAGCCTCCCTGTGGGAGGGCTTGCCAGGGCGGACGCAGGCGCTTACCCCTTTCCTGCGAGTGCTGCTGGCTCCCCCTTGGCTTTGGGAAGAGGCTTGTGTGGAGATGGCGTTGGGGAAGGAGATGGAGACGAAGAGAAGGACCGAGACCTGCAAATTTGGAAACAGAGAATGCAGGTGGGCGGTCAGGCGCAGCTCTTCCTACAGCGGGAGCTGGCTGACGGCGGGTGCCGCTCGGACAGGGCACTTAACTCACCGGAAACACAGCAACAGTAACTTCATACAAAAAATGGGCAAAAGGGAAAAGCGGAATCGTCAGTAGCTTTGTTGCTCACATGAAGTAGAATATCAAACGGGTTAATCATTATTGTGGAACCCTGAAAATGACTTTTAAAAATCAGCATGAGTTGCTACAACTTTTAACCATGTCAGGCAAAGCCTCAATAAAATCTGAAAGGTTCACTGAATACGATTTGGAGGTGTTTGTGGAAAATATCAGGGCCAGTCGACAGTTAGATCCTTTTGTTTCATTAAGGAGAAAGAACGGGAAGAAAAAGCAGCTCTTCAACAGCAAACAGGCAGGCAATGGGCCCATTCTGCAGGTGTTTACATCATGGCTTCCTGGACTATTTGGCGATATCTGACCACAGAGAAGCAAGAGGCGGTCGAGGGAACGGTGGGCCAAGTGCAGGGGCCTCCCTGATGCCCCCCCCCCCGGGCTGAAAAGGAGTCTGGAGCATCTGTCCACTCCAGCACATTTCTCGTGATTGTGGCGGGGGGTGATCCCCCACAAGCCCCCACGCAGGCAGGCCGGCCGGCCGGCCGAGCCGCTCAGCTGTGTCCTTGGGGGTGGCGTATGAAGCCAGAAGGGCCGGGCCAGCAACACCGGCATGCTTGAGCGTTCTGCCAGCAACGGAGACTTCAGTGCGGAGCTCCAGCTTTTAGCACTGGGAAAAATCTGCACAAAACCAGGAAAGCCACCTGCCAATGGGCATCTGGGTGAAGCAGGCCAGGAGGGCCACTCCTGCTTTGAGCCAGTGGCTACTTCTCTCGGCAGAGGGAAGGACGGAGGAGGGACTCTGGAGGATCCATCTTTGGGAGCTCCGAGAGAGAACCTCCGCGGAAAGAAAGTGGGGCGTGCGGGTGGGCCTGGCTGGGGGTGGGAGGTGTGTGCAGCCAGGGGGTTCTCAGGCCGTCGTGGGATGCCGGGGGCACGGTGTTTCAGCAATTCACTTGATGGCAACCTCTGCTGCCTGAAAGAGAAAGCCTTCTCCCTGAGTCACAGGATAATAGGACCGTTTGCACAACCCTTCCTCTTCCGCCAGTCACGGGGGGGTCATTAGATTTAACAGGCTGCGTCATCGGCGTTTTATCACCTTCAGTAGCAGAAAACAATCCCGACATGGTAGTCCCACCTGGCACCATGCCCGCCTAGGAAAAGGCAGCGATGGCTGTCACGTGCCGCGGCTGGGAGAGTGTCCCTCCGACGGAGGGGTTCCATCAGAAGCGACTCATTGGTGGAGCTGCCACCACTAAAAAGACCGCGGTCGCCACTGCCTCGGAGCAGTCCTCTCCAAGCCGGCTGCCCCCAGAAGACTGGGACCGCAACACCGGGCACTGGTCATCCTGGCCGGGAATGATGGGAGGTGCAACTCCAGCACACCTGGAGGGCACCAGGTTGGCGGATGCTGGTGCAGATGGCTGCAGAAGACCACTGGACTGAAGCGGAAGAGAGCTTCAGTAGCAGCTGTTAGTCATGGGGACATTCTGGTGAGGAGGCACCTGACTGCTGGGGAGCATGGGGGTGGGAGGGCTACTGCCTCCAGGCCCAGGCTGTCGGCTTTTAGGGGAGCAGCTGGTAGGGTTGGAGGCCCCCCCCCCCCCCCCCCGCAGCCTATTTATAGGACCCGCTGGCTGGCCCATGTGGCTGCAGCGTGATATAAGGCAAGGATGCCGGGAGAAGCGCTTGGGAAGCATTCCTGGAAGTGGAGGTGACAGGCCCTGCAAGTCAATGATCTGGAGAAGCGACACAAGCAGAGCGGTGAGCAATGCGCTGGCAGGAGCATCACAGGGAACTATTGGGAAATCGGCGGGGGATGAACAGTGCAGGAAGTGATGGAGCACGGAGTTCACGTGCCACAGAACCTCCCGGCTGAGCAACCGTACCTGGATCGGCTGCCGGAGAAAGAGCTGTGCCTAGAAGAGCGACTAGAATAGGAGCTGTACGAGGAGGACCGGGAACGTGACCGTGAAGAGCCGGAACCAGAGTAGGAGGAAGAGCGGGAAGACGACCTGGAAGGGGAAGAGGGGGCAACTTAGGGACTCGGAAGCGCCATCCGTCCAAAATCTCATCATGCGCCCGAGGAAACTTCCAGAACGGGGGCAGGCAACCTAACCCCTTTCACATGTTTTGGACTACAACCCCCATCAGTCCCACTTAGCATGGCCCACGGTCAGATTACGGCAGGCCAAACCCCCCGGAGGGCCCTGGCCCTGCCCCAGGAGTGGCACCAGCTCCTCCTCCTCAGGACCCACCTCTGGAGGGGTCCTCCCTGGGACGCAATGGCTCTTGGCCCCAACACGCGGCGCCGAGAGCCGGAGCCATCTGCCCCAGCCCCCTGCTTGGCCGGATGCAACAGACCCGCTTCCCGCTGCTGGCCTCCCAAACGGTTTACCCTTCCCCACCCGACAACGCTAGCTAAGCTCGCTCCTTTGCCAGCATCGCTTCTACCGGCAGTGGTCCCCAGCCACCCTGGAAGGATGCGCTCCCCTGGTGATGTGGGGGGCGAGGGACGGGCCCGCTCGGGGCAAGAGCCCCTGCTCTGCTCGCAGGGGCCGCACCTGCCGTCTGCGCCATTTCCAGGGACGCCTGGACAAGCTCTTGCCCGAAACCCACGGGAGGCGTTGCTGCCAGTCCGTGCTGACACTGCTTGAGGGTAAGAACACTTCCTGTGCTCCCAGGATGATCCTCCTGGGCCGGTACCTTGAAGAACCTGAGCCAGAGGCCGAGGAGGCCGAGGTCTTTCGGCGCCTGCGAGCACGGCTGGGTGAGGCAGACATGCCATGCTTCTTCTTGGGGGACTTCGATCGGCGCCAGGGGTCCTTCCACTCGTCTGCTCTCTTGGACTGAGAAGGGGTGGCTGTCGTGACCTCCTTCTCCTTCTTTGGTGGCTCTGGCTGACGGCTGGAAGACAAACCGAGGAGCGGAGCAGAGCGGTTAACGAGAATGCGCTGCATGCTGCGCGGCGGCCCGGCGGCCCCCTCTCGCCCTGCTCCTTCTGATGCAGCCAAGGGCAGCACTGGAGCTTAATGCAAGAGGAGCAACAAGCAAGCAGGCCAAGAATGGTCATTTTATACACTCTTTTTCAGGAAAAGAAGCATTCTGAGCCAGTGATGGCGAACCTTTTAGAGACCAAGTGCCCAAACTGCAACCCAAAACCCACTTATTTATCGCAAAGAGCCAACACTGCAATAAAACCTGAAAACTGAGGTTTTGATTTAGAAAAAACCCTCACAGCCAGTGCAAGCAAATATATATGCACCCTTGGCAGCGCGCTGACCAGCCATGTGAAAGCTCGGACGAGTCGTGCCTTGTGATGTCATTGCCTGGCGCCGCTACTCCTTTCCGAGCATGCACATGGCCCCTGTGTGAGCCGTTATCCGATGCCCGGCTGCTGGGGCGATGCTGGGGAGACTCGGCTTGTGTGCCAGCAGTGGGCTGTGTGTGCCCGCTGTGGCACGCATGCCATAGGTTTGCCACCACTGTTCTAAGTGGTTTACAAAAACAGAAACAAAGAAATCACACTATCCAAGATGAAAGTGATACAAAAAGACAAAAGCTGCAGGAAACCGTAGATGCAGCTGTCCTTACACCTGAAGAGCAGCTAGGGCTGGGCGAACACCCCAAATGCTTCTGCAGCTGCCCTCTAGATGCACCGCACTACATGTCCCATCAGCCCTAACGGACAGGCTGGCCTAAGAGTCCAGGGGCAAGCCAACATCAGCAACAGGGAGCAGAGCTGCTCTGGGCCAAGAGTCGGATTCCATGCTGGAGAAGCCCGCATCAGCTCCCATCAGCTCGGGCTGCCATGATCAATGGGGATTTTTCTTCCCCTTTATGGTGGGAACTGCCACCCCAAACACCCCGAGGGCAGCAGGGTGCCCACCGTTGCTGTACAGACTTGGGAAACAAATGGGCTTGGAGTGGGGCGTGACCATCTTGAACAGACATTTGATTTTCCCTTGTGAACTAGTCCCGTACCTGTGATGCCACCTCCTCCTGCCCTGAATCGCCTCCCCTGTCTAAATCCTTGCCCTCACCTAATGCGAAGCAGTCTGGGATTCTCTGCATTCGTTCTCTGCACTATCGTTCACCTGCCAGAATTCTTAAGATTCCAAGTGAACTGCGACCGGGCCGTGCATACCTGCCCTGCGGTTGAGGGCTTGCCAGCACTCACAGCACCTGCAAACATAAACTCTCAAATACCTGTTTGCTTACTCGAGGAAAAAGCGGGGAAATGCACACAGAACAGAATTTTTGGGTTCAAACCCTTCCCAAGGAAGTAGTTTGGGCCTGGAAGTTCCTGCTAGAAGGGATAATTGTTAACCCCAGCTCAGCAGTTCACTGCTTTGGAAATCAGCCATGAACAAATTATGCTTTTATTGTTTGTCCTGACAGGTTCCTTCGTTTCAGCAGGAAATGAAAAAGCAAACTCTGGCCCTGTGTCAGGGCTCAGAATTAAAGAAAAGAAAATCCCTCGGAATGCTTCAATGCAAATTCTCACGTAATACTATTATGCAGCCTGGAAAATGATCTTATGCCCAGAGAAAGTTACTTTCCCCCTTCTTCCCCTTCCTCTCTATGGATGACATAAGTGAGCTGACACCTAGCCTTATCGGGCAGGAAGACTCAGTGACAACACGACAGTTGGGAAGCATTAAAGACCCAAGCTCTAACTTCTGAAGGCAGGAAGTCCATCTAGAAAGGAAGTTAAAAAAATAAAATTAAGAAAGGTGACACACAGACGTCATGGTAAATTTCCCAGGATTGACAACAGGAAATGGAAAGGTTGGGAAAAGCTTGCTCAACAACCAACACCTGATTTAGACGTTTAAACTAAATCCGAAACACCTCTGAAGTACAAAAAGCACCCTTAAACAATGTCAAAAGTAGCTTTCAAATGAGGTAACATTCAGATAACTATGTTGGCCCAGTAAGAGGGAAAATCCACTGGGGGGGGGGGACATCCAGTGCTAGTAGCAAATTAATACCTTTACTAGAACTACAAATGAAAGATTTCCTCTTAACAAATCAGGTGAGAGATTGTTAATAATAAAATAAATACAGAAAAAGCCCCAATGCCATCAGCAAGCTTTTGAGTTTCATAGAAACCACCCCCCCCCCCCGAGACTAGATTCCACCCATGGGTCTGAGTTGGCCGACGACTTCTGAATCCCCAGAAGGGAGGGTCGTGGGTGCTGCTCCGTCCCAGCATATTGTGAGGCGGCCCGAGGCGTTTCGTCCCTGGCGCAAGTGAGCTTGCTCCGTCTGCCGTGAAATAGCTGAACTGCGGCTGATTGTCACTGAGGGCAGGTGGGGCTTCTGCATGTTTTAGACAGGCCGGCTCTGAATCCTGATCATTATTAACAGAACAAATCATCACCAGGAATGAAAGATGGGGATAGAAAATGCTATTTCGGTTGAACCACAAAGGTTAAAAACGAAATGTTTGATTATTTTAAATCTGGAAGATCAGGCTCCTGTGCCATATTACAAGCGAGATTGGCATGTTACTACTTTGTTTGATCCCAGTGCAGACGGTTAACCCCCCCCTCCAATAAAATTGCACAAACTTCTGGATTCTAGGGGAAGGCACCTGACGTGCCGAGAGAGATCTGGTCAACCATATTCAGGTGTATTTAAAGAATGAGCAACAGGCTGCCTTTCAGCAGCCCTCCCCAACCTGGTGTGCTCCACACTGGTCGGCCCACGCCTCCCATCCTGCCCCTGTGGGGGTTCACCCCAGGTGGAGGGCACCAGACGGGCGAAGGCGGCCTTCACAGCCAATCCTGGGCCAAGCGCCTCAGTGCGGTGCGACTTACTCCCAGGCAAGTCCCAGAAATCTGTCCCCTAGCAGCCGAAGATGGCACTGTAGGTTCAGCCACAGAGCCATTTAAAAATTAATTCATTTGTACAAGCAAGCACACTCGGAAATGTACCCCCCGCAGGGTTCCCTAAGTGTGCACGCCAAGTCTGAGGAGCCTCTAAATTTCAAGGGCTCGACAAACATCCTCTTATATTCTTTATAGATTCTGTGGATATCGTCCATTTTTGATTGCTTGTGCATTTATTGCTTATTTATATTGTAAGCCGTCCTGGGACAACTGGATTGTGCAGCACGGGATTACAAAGAAATCCAAAGGAAAAAATAAATAAAGAGTTTTCGACAGAAACAAGGCTCACAACCCGCTGCTTGCTCCAGCAACACAGGCCTCTTCCCCAGTCTCCGGCTGCACAGTTTGCATCTTAACTGAGATCAGGAAGGTTTCTAGGGCCGTGGACAATTCTCTGCACAATTTTCTTCTGTTCAGCATTTATTCTAGACCAGGGCTCAGCAACCCGCAGCTCCGGAGCCGCGTGTGGCTCTTGCATCCCTCTGCTGCCGCCGCTCCCTGTGGCTCAAAATATGCGTCACAACCGCCAATGTGCGACACCCGCCGGCACGCGACTGATTGAGCTTCTCGACCCCCGGTTGACCAACCATGGATAAATCCAAGAAAAGAAAAGTTTCAGAAGAAAACAGAGCGTTTAATGGTACGTGGGCAGATTCGTTTGCTTTCACTGCTGATGAGACTGGTTTACCAGTATGCTTAATATGTGGTGAGAAATTGGCTAACAACAAAAAGTCAAATGTTGCAAGACATTTCCAGAATAAATACACAGCCTTTGCTGAAAAATATCCGGATGGACATGAGAGAAAAAAAGCCATTTCGGAACTGATGCGGAAGGTTGATCTGAGCCAAAATCAATTCAAGAAGTGGATCAAGTCTGCAAATCCAACTCCACATGCTAGTAGTTCTGCGGCCGCTCAGGAAACAGTCAGGCACGGGAAGCCGTTCACAGATGGAGATTATGTAAAAGAACTATTCCTTGATTTCATAAATGCAACACATGATAGTTTTTTTATACATAGCATAAAGGTAAAAAACTAAATGTGCAGTGTTATCTTCATTTTAGATGTCAAAAGGGTTTTGTGGCTCCCGGTGTTTTCTTTTCTGTGGGAAACGGGTCCAAATGGCTCTGGGTGTTTAAGGCTGCCGACCCGTTCTAGACCATCGGGATCAGCTCACCAGTGCAAGAGAAAAGGAAAAAAATGTAGGCAACGAAGAAGAAATGGAGCCGTGTAGTGGCGAGGTTCCAAAACAAGTCAAGGGTGAAAGGCGGCTGGTATAAGCAGGCCGTCGGTCCATCCGTCCGCCCACTCTTTAACAGTGCTACGGCTCCACGGAATATTTGGTAACATCTCTCAGCAGCCAGCTGATGATATTCAACCTATCATTTAGAGCTTACCAAGTCTTATTAATTCTGCCGCACCAGCCACTGTCCTACTTCCAACACACCCTTCCCACTGATTCATGCGCTATCCATCTAAAGGGTATGCTTTTATTTCTTAATACATTATAAAGTCTTTTTGAAAGCCTCTCGGTTTCAAAAATGATTTCCCCACGGGTGTGAACACAAGTTCACAGCAAATTCGTTCCACGGCTCTTGGAATCACAGCCAAGTACATTTCAATAAGGAAAGGTAAAAGCGGGCGATTCCTCATCTAGATTTTGGCGAAAGCTAAAATGTGCAACTGGAGGCGACAAGCATTGCCCCCTTCATGCAAAGTTCCTGCAAGTAATTTTAATATTAATGCAGTAAAACATTTGTATTTCGTCCATCGCGGCAGCGTCTCAGTAGTACTTTATGCACGCATTGGCGCTCGTCTGGGAATTATTGTACAATCAGAGCAAAAGCAGGAGGACATGGCAGTTTCTGTAAGAGTGAACGAAAACTCTTTGTTTTTGTTAGGTATAGGGTGAGAAGAAAGAGACTGTATTCTGTTTCTTCTGCGCACAAGACATTGTGTGAAGACTGCGTCTGTATTTTCTTTCCTCTATACTGTCTAAGACAATCTCCTC